TCCAGCGGTGCCATGGCCTCGGGCCGGAGGAGATGTAAAGGAGTGCGCTGCAGCGCGATGCAGAGTTGCATGGTTGTGACGTAACGGATCGTAGACGGGAGCGGGACATAGGGGGCTAGGATTTTGCCGCAAAAGAGGATATATTTTGCGTCAACGATGACTTCGTAGGCCGCTGCGCTGTACCATTCGCGGATGGCTTCGGTGTGGATTGCATGGTTGGTGCGGAGGAGGGCGGGGCAGCAGGGTTTCCCGTCTCGTCTGAGGGGCGGCTTTTTGTTGCGGATCAGGGAGAAGTTGCGAATGGGGATGTTGGGGATCAAGTAATGGTAGATTTGGAGGCGGACTTCGGGAGGAAGGGAGAGAAAGGGGAACGGAGACATTGACTGTCACATACAGAACTAAGTAGAAGAATTATCCACAGGTGTGAGTGTTGGAACCCGGAATTTGACAGACCGATGCAATGACGAGCCGATCTTGGATTCCTGAGGTTCCAGGCTTTCAGCCAGATGATAAGCGCCGGCGATAAGCTTGTCACCGCGGCATGTGGGGTTGCCTTTGATTGGTCTATGCGGGGTATGTCCGCCTGTCAACCCATGTATTGTATCCCAAGTAGGAAGTATCTAAATAGGTCGCAGCCGGGATCAATTCTAGTTCTTAAAATGCGTGCTTCAATGGAAAAAGAAAAAAAATAAAAGGTTCTCCCAGTCAAGAATATCCCAATTAATATCCCCTGGTGCGTTTATACTCATTGACCAGCGGTTCTCCCCTCTCCAGTCGCCGTATATTCTCCTTGGCAATATCGAAGGACCGGGGAAAATATTCCTTGCCCAGGGCACTGATATGAGGACTGATCCGTACATTCGGCACATCCCATAGCGGATGATCCGCAGGGAGTGGTTCCGGATCGGTGACGTCCAGCGCTGCCCCACTCAACTCACCCGACCGGAGAGACGCGATCAATGCCTCCTGGTCGATAATCTTGCCACGTGCAATGTTGGTCAGATATGGCTTAGGATGTCCGGCGGGTATGTGTGAGGATAAGACGGCGAATTCTTCGGCTCCGAGGAGATTATGTGTCTGCGCCGTTAATGGCACGCAGACTACCAGATGGTCCAATCCGAGCTTCAGGAATGAATGAATTGACGCCTTGTCTGTGCCATGGTGCCACGATACCGGTATTGAGCCGTCCTTGTCGCCGGTGCCGGGGATAATGTATCCGGTATCACGACGGGATTCGGGAGTCAGGCGAGGAGAAGCCGTATACGCGTGGACGGTCATTCCTAGAGCGACAGCGACACGGCCGACTGGATCACTGTCAGCAGCAGTTTTATTCAAGTGGTCAATAACATACTCTGTCGTCCAATACTCCCGTATCCCAGAATGCCCACCTTCTTCCCAACCTGGTCATGAAGCCCCTGCATGTAATCATCCACATCTCCCCAGGCATGCTGCTTTTGATTTTCATACGTCCGAACAAACTCTTTCGACGCGGCGAGCCAGTTCATCACAGTCCATTCGGCAATAGGAGGTCCATGAATCCCCGAGCTGGTGCTGATGGGTATCATGCTGTCTTTGAGAATAGAATGGGTCAAGAGATGGTCGACTCCGGCCGAGAGGGTATGAATCAGCTTGATACTGACCCGATCAGTTCGCTTCGGTAAGACCACCACCCGGGTAGGAATGCTGTCATGTATACTTACTTGGCTGAGTCCTCAATCTTCGGCAGATTGGTAAAAGTCACAATAATGGTAGCCTTGCGCGCGTATTCTAAGGGACGAGTCAGAGCCTCCATTGCCAAAATAATGGGGGTGCATGACGAACCGCTTGGGATCGGAGCCAACCTCTCCAGCTGAATGATGGTAATCTCGGCGTTGGGAAATTTGGCGCGGATATCTTCGACCACCGCTGCGGGTAGGTCATGCATGAAGGCTATGAGCAACTGCTCCTTGACTAAAGCCGCATCACCCATTTTCGCTCTGTTGTCAGGTTTTAAGACCCCAGGACGTTGAAAGAGACTAGGAAAGGGGACAGTCAACTGCCTGTAAATGACCAGGTATGGAAGTATATTCCGGACGCAGTAAGTTCGACCCCGGCGTCTGGCATATATCAAATAGCATCCTAGTCCAGAATCTCCAGATGAGCAATTGTCGCCAGCAATTGCAAATGTCGCGAAGGAGGGGACTAAACCCCATCGACCACTGCAGGAGATTTCCTTATCGGGCCTTATCCAGAAATCCCCACACTTGCATTACTAATCCCGGCAGTTTGCACATTGCCAACCGAGGTTACCCTCGTATTTCCGGGGGCCATTGAGAATTGCTGTGTTCTGAGTATCCTCCAGGTAGGCCTGATTTTTTGCAGAATGTGTGAATTTTTAGATGATGCTGAGTCCAGCAGTTGCCTCTGTCGTCTCCCCTTCATCCTCCTGAGCGTGAGGGTTATTGTGTCGAAGAAGATCCACCGTGCTGACAGATGTCTCGCCAATCGGGTTACACAATCCAACCTCTTTTCTACTAACTAGTTAAAAGAGTGAGCATCGGGCATAGTGAGGATTTGAGACATTCATTTCGATTCCCGGTATTGCGGTCCCGCACTTTGCAGATTGATCTCAGTACCCAACTGCTGGAAATGACGGATCAGTTGGGGTCATGTGCATGCAGCAGATGATCGGTCCACTTTTCTTCCAACTGTGCATGTAGCGGATCAGTAGTTCATCTGGTCATTGATCAAAATCTCTCCGATCTGACGTGCCTCACGACTACTCCGTATCTTCATCAGAGTGGCCAGTTTCCTGTTGCATGAACGTTGACGGTCAACCCCGCCGATGCGAGCCCACTACTAGGGACTCTGCTTCAGCCCGCCATGCTATAGACTTTCTTCGTGTCACTGTCATGAGAGCAGTGACTTTATGAGCCGTATCGTTCCAAGGACTCGACACAAGATGCTCTACGGAGTACAGAGTACTGATAGTAATCTCAGCAGAGATTGGCGGGCAGATTTTCCGATCACACGAGTGACACTGTACAGAGAGTCTAGACCTGACTCATCAACCCTGTGGAAAGTGCCATCTTCTGCAACAACATGTCCATCACACCTTCATCCTTTATCTTCAGTCGTCAATCACCTTTTAACTTCCCGTGTGTCCATCGCCAAGACCCACTAAATGAAGAGTTCGCAGTTTTGTCACTTGTGTCAACATCAGTATTCCAAATCGTTTGCGGTCCCTCACGCAGATCATTCCCTTAGTGATGGGTTTTACTTCAAGTTAGTTACTGTACGGAATAGTCATCAGACAGAGCAAGGAGCACGAGTAAGGAGTCTCAGGGCCTGTCTACGGTTCCTGCTGAGATTGTTTGGTTGTGGTTCTTCAGAGGGCCGCTCCCGCACGCCTGAGCTCCATGCGATCGGCCGGACTCATTGCCCAAAACATGCTGATCTGCAGTTGGCTGTCCAGATGAGGAATAGGCGGAAATGAGTGGCTTGATTATTGGCCAAGTTTTCGAAACTCATTTCACTTCACTGGCACTGTCCTCGATATGATTCGGCGCTCATTTCTGTGGCCGCAGCCGCCAGACCCCAATCTAGCTGAGTCAAGAGCAAGCTTGGACGAACAAACAAGAGGTCAAAAAAAAAATTATTAAAAAAAAAAAAAAAGCAAAGAGACGGAATGGAGTCCTCTTTTCGGAAGCTCGCGGTGCTTGACAGATCCTTAAGTACGAGGGGGGTGTCCCGCAGTCAACAATCTCAATTACACGGACTCTGTACAGCTTGTCTCCTCACCCGTTCTATAGCAGTGCCAAAGAGCCAAGCTGCAAACAACCATGGCCGAACGACCCCGACCGACCCTTCTCAGGCGCGTCCTGACGGCAGTCATCGATCCGGTTGGTCGCGAGGAACAGGGCTACCCTCAATACCCTACAATGCACGGACTCCAGGACCCAGAAAACGAGGGTCTATCCATGGGATCCTCAAATAATCCTCAACTCACCCGCCGCCTGACGGTAGCGACCACCCACGCCAGCACCCTGATCCCCCCGTCAGACAAACTGCTCGTTTTCCGGGCTCTCACCGGCATCGACACCGTCCCGGCCCTCGCAATCCCGCATCATCACCCGCGTAGCGCACCCAACGTTGGCATCTACACGCGCGTCGTGCGCGCCGAGCAAGCCGCCGCACAGCGGTACCACTTTTTCAGCATCCTCATGAACACCTGTCTGGGCATCCAGATCGTGGTCGCCGCCGCGCTGACAGCCCTCGGCGCCGCGCGCGGGCCCCACAATGCCGTCACGGCGTTCGGTGCCATCAACACTATCATGGCGGGTATCCTGACATATCTCAAGGGTTCTGGGCTGCCCGATCGTTTGAAGCACTACCAAAACGAATGGCGAAATATCCGAGAGTACATCGAGCAGCGCGAGCGCGAGTTCTGTCTTCACGGCTGCCAGCTGGATGTTCAGGAGGAGATTCTTTTCATCGAGAGCATGTATGAGGGTGTCAAGCGGGAGATCGAGGCGACCAAGAGTGGGGAGAATCGCTCGGTGGCTGGACCGGGGCAGGTCCGTCGGTCGTTTCTGCCGCAGGCGCGGGCACCTGAACCAGAGCAGCCTGGAAGGCCTGATGCAGGCAGCCCGGTGTCTGTTCCTGAGCCCGTATTGGAGAAGAACCCGCACTATGTGCGGGCTTGATGCTTCACTCGTCTGACTTGAAACCCTATGTGTATGAAGCCATATAAAAGTCTAATCCTAATGAAACTGACATGATCGATATTTTTTTGCCGTAGCACCACCACAATAAAGAAAGAAAGAAAAAATCCACCTAAACCAGTACGGATGAGATGCAATCATGCAACATTGGCAACCTGCTCCACTCCGTCCCACAGCTGCAAAGCTTGGCACAATCATATCTCATCTCCAACTCTCACAACATTTTCCTCTTATCAAAACTATAGATACGCAACCAATTTAAATATAGAATTAGATACACAGCAAAAGAAAAAGAAAATGTCCTTGGAACTCCTCCCCGCAAATCCCAGAGACTCGCCCGCTCTAACCACCGTCTTCCTCTCCGCCTTCAGCAACCCCTTCAACAAGCGCATGTTCCCACGCACCCCAGACGTAACCGCCTACTGGACCGCACAATTCACCTCCTTCATCAACAATCCACACAAGACCGTTCTCAAGGTAGTCGACTCAGCAGATGGCGCCATCGTCGCGTTCGCGGTATGGCAGCTCCCGGTCCAACCCTCCTCCGAGCAGGAGAAACATTCGCATTCAGGCGATGAGCATCCCTATCCCGCCAGTTCCGACAGGGAGCTCTGCGCGGCATTCTTCGCCGGGATGGAGGAGATGAGGGAGAGCATTATGGGTCGTCGGCCTCATTACTGTATTCCCCCGTTTAAGTTTCCCTTTGCGTTAACTGTTCTTTGGAAAGGTGGATGCATGGGCTGATTTGTCTAGATCTGGAGATGTTGGGGACCCGGCCGGAGTACACTGGGCGTGGTATTGCGTCGAGGCTGCTCCGGTGGGGATTGGAGAGGGCTGATGAGGTGGGATTGGAGACGTATCTCTCGGCGTCGCCGGCGGGGAGGCCGCTGTATGAGAAGTATGGGTTTCGAATGGTGGAGGAGAGGGAGGTTGTGGGTGGGTATGTGCAGGGGTATATGCTTCGGGCTGGGAGGGATGTTTGATTCATGCGTTGGGTTACGGATACTGTTGCTTTTGCGCTTTAGAGAGGATGGACATGGTATTGAGCGTTGCATAGATAGTCTGCTGCCCTCCATCATTCTGGCCGATTATTGGAGACTGATTGATCAGCCTTGAGCTGCTGCATTCTGTTTTTATAAAATCTGGAGTCAAAGGACACAGTCACGATCATGGTCTGGGAGTATTCATTTCTAGGTTATGCGCGAGCCGTCTTCGCTATTGCTTCCCTTTGCTATGTGCCTTATCATCCACGAACGTTTTCACTCCTATATAGCGTTTCATGTCTCCTAGACGCCTTGGATTGCCGGTGCTATGGAAATGGCTCGGTAAGTATGGCTCTGACTACATTAGGACATTGATGCAGTCGTTTGAGAGTGCCAATAAAATCGACAGTTCCATGCCATGGTTGTTGCTTGCCCTCTCATCGCTCTTCATGCTCCTCAAGGAGTATGTGAATGGTATACAAATGGTAGAAACAAGTAGATGGCTAGCACAGGGCGATGTTAAGATGAGGAGGAATGCACGCTTGCTTCCAGAGAAAACTGATGACTTGACGAATGTTCATTCTTGGGAGACTAATTTCATACTAAATGTCACAAATATGCTTTTCAGTTGAAGAACTATATTTTAAAGAGAACAGTGATGGAAGAAAGACCCTCGTTGGACTTACAATATTACACCCGAATGCTCAACGTCTTTCGTAGAACTCCATGCCTCACTGGACACCCTCAATCAACGTCTTGATGCCCTCTCCACGCCTCGTCGTCTCCCAGGCCTCCGTCGCCCTCTCAAATGGGAACACTCTGGTAATGAACTGCCTGACAGGAATCCTCCCCTCAACTGCAAACTGCAGCCCCATCCGAAAATCCCCAGGTCCATAACGAAAGCATCCCTTCACCACAATCTCCCTCTCTGCAACTGTGCAAATAGGAAAGCTCACATTCCGCTTCCCAAGACCCGTCTGGATAAACGCCCCCCCAACCCGAAGCACCTCAATCCCCATCTGAATGCAAGGCTCGGCACCCGTAGCCTCGATGACGATATCAAGGCCGGTGACCTCGTCGCTTCTATGCTCCGCTCGGTCATACTCCTCCAGCAAAGCGGCGGCATTCTCCTCCGAAGACCTGGACGAATCAGGCACAAACGTCCCCAAGACCATTCTCTCGCTCGCGAGGAACGACCGCGCAAATTGCAGCTTCACTTGGTTAACATCCACCGTGATGATCGTCCTGGCCCCAAACTCCCTCGCCACGGCCGCACAGAGCAAGCCCACCGTTCCCGCTCCGAACACGACTACCCGATGCCCAGGCCGCACACCCACCTGTCTGACAGAGTGCACCGCCACCGCCAGCGGCTCCATCAGCACCGCCTCGTCTAGCCCTAACGTCCCCGGAGGAATCTTGTAGCAGTAGTCCGCAGGTAAACGGAAGTACTTGGTCAACGTGCCGTGGCAGCTAGGCGGAGCCGCAGCGAACTTCATCCGCGGGCAGAGGTTGTACCGGCCGCTCTTGCAGCAGGAGCACCGATGGCATGGGTAGCCCGGTTCAATGGCGACATGGTCTCCAGGCTGGAGGGTGGAGACGGATGGTCCAACGGCGTGGACGATGCCGGACGCTTCGTGGCCCATGACGATCGGTTGCTCGGGGGATACAAGGCGTTTGACTCCGCCATGGAGCCAGAAATGGACCTTGCACTTGTGGTTAGATTCAGGTTTGTGATGGTCAAGGAAATGGAGGTATGTGACGCACGTCGCTTCCACAGACACCTGTGTATGCGATGCGAATGACCACGTCGGATGGGTCCTCGATCTTCGGGATGGGTCTATCTTCGAATCTCGCGTCAAACGGGCCGTACAGGAAACATGAGGGATTCTGCATCTCAGACAAGGAGACGGAGTTCATCTTGCAAACGGTAGATGGCAAACAGATCTCAGTAAGCTCAGAAGGATTCGGCAAATCGACGAAATGCTAGACGTTGAATGTCATCGGCTCGAGGACAGAGGGGCTATCTAACCCCGCATGAAGGACACCTGTAATACATGACATAGTTGGATGAAGTGTAGCGAATGATATCATTCAAGAGGCTCCTGGAGATACTCCGAGATTTTTTCCACTAGTCTATAGCGGTGGAGGCCGAATGCGACACCAGTGTCCAAGCGGGATGGTTCAGCTCCTAACAGCTGGGCTCAGACAAGCACCGGTTTGATGTCATACAAGCACGATAACGGCTTGCTCTTAAAACCAGACTGGAAAAGGAGTTTTTCTATGAGATGAGACAATAGATAGGCGATGCAACAGGCCACCTCCTCGATGACAGGGGTATCAGTACATAGGAGTCATTGTATCTCAAGTAAGAGCAGCAGATTGTGGTCAGTGCTAATTGACAGAATGAAGCTATAAAACTTTATGCAAACCACTCAGCGCTATTGTTGGATATCACAAAAGAAATATCGGTGATCGCTCGTGCTTGAATCCTGAGCAATGGAAAACAAAAGTCGCAAAGTCGTGACATCGTAAGTTGTAGCTGGAAGGTTGCCAAATCTACGGCTTGGTAGCTAATGCCCGCAACCGCCCTCGTAAAGTCTCCATTTCCGGATCATTCTCTCTTCCTTCTGATTCTTTCTCCTTCAGAGAAATGGATCGATACTCGCCATCCCCTCCAGGAGCCCCGACAGTCACCCAAACAAACTTGCCTCCTCCAACTTGCGCCCGCTCCTGAGTGCCCTCCCAAAGCATCTTGGGAAGGTCTGTGGAAGTCTGATCTTGCGAGGGACTACCTCCCAAGCGCCCATGCTTAACCCAGCTCTTCATGACTTCCCTGATAAAGCCGATCTTCTCCAGGAAGAAGTTAGCTTCTAGAACATCGCGAATGCGCTCATCGACAGCGCTCGTCGTGCTGCCATTTGCAATGCTCAGGAATGCGGTGGCCTCGTCTGAAGCGACGGCTCGAGTATCGAATCCGGACGGGTGCATCTTTCCTTTGGAGCTCAGATACCGGGCCGCAGAAGGGGAGAGATGATAGAAGTCAATCCAGGGTGATGAGGCTCTTGTACGACCAGGAGATATGACGAGTTTTGTGTGGTCGGGGAAATTGAACTATTCCAGAGGATGATTAGGATCGTGTATCAAGTTGCAAAGGTGGCCTAACAAACCTGGAAAGCACCGTCGCCAAACCCCCAGACACCGACATTGCCCAATCTCTGGTAGAACTTGATAAACTGGCCAAGGCCATCTGTTTTATCGTCTTCCGAAACGTCATCGTCGTCATGCCTGCCCAAGGATCCAATCATATACTTGCCGAATTGATCAACCAGCTTCACGCGTTTGATCTTCTCTGCATCGGCGCGCGCGCGTTCAAGACCGGAGTTTGTGCGAACCTTGATTCCAGCACCAGAGGAGCCATCGGAAGAGGGCTTCACCTCGAAAACAGAAGGGTGAATGAGCGCACGGCGGATGCCTGTCAGACCATCTGACGATGTGTTTTCACAGTTCTCATAGAATTCCACCGGCCTGCCGTTACGAGGCACGAGCTGATCAGCCTCGGTGTAGGTAGAGGCTCCATCCTTTTGCTTGCTTAGGCTACGGGCTTTCCGACGGATATGCCTCTCACCATTCCGTAGCAGAACTCCACTGGCCGGCTGGCCATTCTCCGCTTTGAACACGCATCCCACACTACCGTCATCTAGAACATACCCAATGCCGTAACGATTAGTGTAGTCTACCCATTTGATGACGTATGAATGGGGTGTCCTTCTCGAGCTTACGCGCCGGCGACCAGATGTTGGAGGCACCAAGTTAGAAAGCATCAGCCGGAGGTCGGTGTTGACGTCCTCGAGAGATGTCCTTGGCATCATCTCGCAGGGATCGTCCGGATGAAGAAGCGGATACAGTCCTAATGTCGAGCGCTTACTGCTTGACGTAGCGGCTGTCTTGCTACTGGAACGGCTTACGGCGACTTCTGTTCGCAGACGACCTTCTCCGCTTGGCACTTCCTTCGCCTTGACTGCATCATCTAGCTCCTTCCGCTTGGAAGATTGGAGAGCTTCTTCCCTTGCCACTGAGCGTGCGGAACTCTGGCGTAACCTTGTAGGCAGATTGTCCAACGCTGAGGAGACAGATCGCTCTTTGGTGACGGCGGGAGCAGAAAGTGCGTCGTTGCTTGCCGCTCCCAGTCGTCGAGACTGCGACCGTGTTTTACCCACTGTCAACATCCCAGGGTCACTGGTGGATGGCACAATTTTTCTGTCCAAGTCGCGCATTGAACCTGAGTACGAGACTGCCACTCCGCGCCGCGCGCGTATGGGTCTTTCCGCGAGTCCGCCGGTCGACACGATGGGAGCAGCAGTCTCGGGTTCTACTACTGCTGGTGGATCACAGATAGCTGCAATCTTCCTGACCGAGCTTCGAGCACCCATTGCCTGTTGGCGAAGCGTTGCAGCATGACTCTGCGGTTCTTGCCGTCGTTGCTGAGCTGCAGCAAGAGCAGCTTGAGTTCTGGAAAGAGAGGCAGCATTACTGCGCATGGATACGGTACGCTTACCAGATGACCTCGTACTGTCCAATGACGAGTCATCCTTGCCAAGTCCAAGGCCAGGAGTGGGCGTGCTCCAGTCCCCGTCGGGGTCACTAGGGTAGCTGTAGACCATGTCTTCGGGCAGCGGCATAATTGGCTGCAATCCCTTTTCCTCCTCAGATAGACATTCCGAAAACGCAGATTTCGAACAGTTTTTGCCAACAGACCTGCGAGCTGACCCATCTGGTTTACGTCCGACTCCACAGAGACTGTAGAATGCCGCACGGCAGATGAGGTATCGCTGTGTCGGGTCATCGACATGCTCTATGTAGCCTGACAACTTCTCGTCATACTCCAGGCTATGACCAAGCATCATGCGATCACCACGAGGCTCATCCGACCTGAGCCAGATCGGCGTCGAAACCGTGCAAGTTGGGTCCAGTCGTCGAGGAATACATCCATCGTACATATTGAAAAATGGATGTTCCACAATGTCGTCCGGGTCAGGCCGCTCGTTCTCTGAGAGATTGAGACAAGAGCTGACCAAAGATTTGGCCTCGTCGGGGATGTGATTCGCGCACTGAGTCCCACTGGGCCAAACATAACTCAAATTCCTGACTTTCTTGTATATTTCCTCCTGTGTTTTAGATTGAAAAGGTGGATAACCGGTAAGCATCGCAAAGCTTTGAAACTATCAGTTAGTGGGGGGCTCTATCCGTGTCATAACTTCAGCTTTGCTTACCATATTATACCCAACGACCAAATATCAACCTTCTGGGTATGTCCACCCTTACTCTTATCGAGGACCTCTGGAGCAATGTAGTTTGGTGTCCCACACAGCGTCTTCCTCCTTTTCTCATCCTTTTCAGAGATTATCATGGCTGCCAGCCCAAAATCTCCCACTTTGATGTCCATATTTCGATCCAAAAACAAATTTCCCATTTTCAGATCACGATGCGCAACACTCCTCTTGTGTAGGTACTTGACCGCCCCGCAAAGCTGTATCATGAATCGCCGCACTTCGGGCAAGCTCAGGCATTTCCTTTTCCTCACCATGTCCATTACTGAGCCGTTTGGACACAGCTCCAGGACCACGTAGATACACTTGTCAAATGCAAAGGCGCGATGAAATTCGACGATGTGCGGATGCCGCATTTTCGAATGTATTTGAAGTTCGGTTCGAAACTACAGAAAGGTTCTGATTAGAAAAGGATTGAAAAAACCCATGCCCAATGACAGCGGATGCAACTCGAGACATACCTTCTCCTGCATCTTTTTCTGGGCCATCTCAGACCTCACCACCTTCATTGCAAAAACTCTTCCATTCCGCAACAGTGTGCCTTCGTAGCAGATTGCGAAACCTCCTTTCCCAAGAAAAGCGCCAGTAGAATAGCGCTCACCCCCTTCCGCGGGCTCTGCAACCAGCGACGGTGGTGGAGGCGCATGGATTTTCGACGAAGCGGCTTTTTGCGCCGCTGCCGCCGCAGCGGCATTCTTGTCCAGAACTTTTCTTTCCATGCTGACTTTAGGTCTGATCAAGTGATTCGTCGATCGCGGCGACAATGCTTCCATCTTCAATTCCAGTCCTTCGGTCGGATCCCTTGCAGTGCGTGGGCATCAATTTTCGCATTGGAGATCAATCGTGTGACCAGGCAAGGCGGAACAAGGTATTCGTCGAGGTCATAAAAGTATCACTACAATATAGACAATCAACGCAAGACGGGCCGAAAAGGGGTATAATAGATGAGCTGCTTTTGGTATCTACGGTCCAAATCTGTCAGTACGTCTGTCGAGTGGACAGCATGTCTGGAACCGGGTCATCCAATGTCTTGGTGTTCCGTCGTGGAAACAAAGAAGTCGGATTCTGGGTGAGTGCTGACTTACCAAAAAACAAGTGCAAGTAGAAAAATATGATCAACTATAACTCTCTGAAACAATGATATGCATGTAACGCCACAACAATCAAACTGACAGCGCTGATGAAAGGCGGGGGAGGGGAAGCAGGGAGTGGTGATGATGGTATTGAGGCTGCCAACTGCGATAGTGAAGAAGGAATTAACGATTCAAAACGGATTGCTTAATCGGGTAATCGATAAACATTCATCCGACTGCCGTAACAACGTGCATTGCTGATCTAAGCATGTATATCATCCGTAATAATGCAGTTGCAAATGACGCAGAGAGTGAGCTATTCCAGATACGGTCATAGCGCGGGCGGACATGTCGGTACTATCAGTCATCATCATCAACAGCAGCAGTAGCCTGGACGTCCACCTCAATAATACGACCCCTGAGTTGTATTGAGAGCTGTCAGGATGTCTCTCACTTTGAAGCTCTCTTCTCTTGTGATTCGCACTCTATCAAAGCCGATTGCAGTATGCTTTACCCCTTCGGTCCCTCTTCCATTTTTTTGGACGTTTGAAAGACTTACACCTCCAAGAATCAAATCAAAGCCCAGGCTCGCGAACATGAACGCTTCAGACGGATTTGCGTCTCCATGGCGCAAGGCCTGCATCGAATTGACATGCGTCTCCGCCTAGGAAATCTGCGGGATAATGCTGCGGCTCAAAGGCGCGCAGCTGCTGAAGCCGAAGTCCGGAAACACAAGCCCACATCGCCAACGGTAAAGACGGAAGCAGAAGCCAAAGCCGAAGAGGAGGCCATAGCGAAGGCAAAGGCTGCGGCTTCAGAGGCAGCGAAACCGGCTCCCGCTCCGCATATTCGACCGCTGTCCGAATCTAAAGCCATAGAATCGGGCGCGACTTTCATCAGCGAGACCTTCTTATTTCTCGTTGCGGGTGGACTGATCGTGTATGAATCATGGAGATCAAGGAGAAAGGAAACAACCCGGAGAGAAGATGTTGAGGCCAGATTAGTCGAACTGGAGCAGTCTGAGAAGGCCGCCCGGAAGGCCCTGGTCGCCTTGGAAAAGGAAGTCCTACATCTCAAGGCCAAGGCTGGGGAGTCAGTCAAATCGTCGGTTAGAATACTTCCGCGTGAAGTGTGGGAAGTTGAAGAGGAGGAAGAGGCTGAAGAGTTAGCGGAGGTGGACTGGTGGTCGCGGATCACTTCAATCTTCACTTTTGGGCAGAACACTGAACAGAAACCGGCCGAGGTACCCAAGCCCGTCGTACAGTCGAACCCAAGCTCGCCCGCAATTTCATCGGTTCCTGTTCAATTCGACCAGCCACCACCGAAATTGGTCGCTAATGAGGCGCCCTCAGTCAAGAATCATTGATCCGACTGGGTGTGGCTTTGCATATAAGTAACCTCGCCATAATCTTCGCTCATATTCCTTGTTATGAAGTTTCCGGTTTCGGAGTTATTGGATGTCAGCATTAGCATGTCTTGTCTTCAAGATACCCTCTGTATGGTAATAGATGATGGGTTGATAGTTCATCTGGCTGTGGCGGAAACAGGAAGGTTGGATGATAGTCCAGACGTCGCATGACTTGACCACTCTCCTCACTGCTCTCAGAAAACGCATGTTCCTCATTCCTGTACATATACTCTCCAATCCTGGCCGTCAGTTTAAACTATAGATTTGTTCGCTTTTTACAATGCCAGATCCTGCCGTGTCATCTCTTCGAGGGACATTTTCCTCTTCTATAGGGAATCGTCCTGTCTGGAAAGTAATGGGCCAGGTAATTACAGCGTGTATGCCAATGCTCGAAGGTTTGCATCCGAACTTCAGTTCAGCTTTGAATCACTTCTAAATGTGATTGAGCCAGAGTGTGACTTGCAAGAAGCGGATTTCGATTTTGATCTCGGCAATTCACAGAACTTGAAGGTCCTGCTTCTCTCTCATTCTTCTATTCAAGACGACAGGCGAGAGACAATCGATCGACTGAAAATGTTTTCGCGCATGGCTACAGGCTCTCACAGAAAAGCTATTGCTTTCCTCCTTACGGAAGAGCCCTTCAGCAGTGCAAGTGGCAGGTATAGCCTCGAAGGACTCCTGACTCTGCAAGTACTGTACGCCTGCTCATCTCTTTCTAAAGATATTTTTAGATTTGTGTTTAAATTGTAACTCAGGACTGGAATGAACTTCAGCTGATTCGTCCTTTGTCCAACCAGCATGGCTGAGTCCCTGCCAGATCATTTACCCACGATCCCAATTCCCGACTCATCTTGCTTCACGACCTGCGTTCAGGAATATATAGGCAGATTCGCGAATCTACCACCTTTCTCTCGGCCTTTGACGGACACAGTGTCTTTGTTACATCGCATGAGAGCTCCGTCCTCTCTTTCTCTCCCGGAACAGGATGCAAATGTCCTGAGTGATCTATTTCCATCCTTGAAATCCTTGAGCCAGGCCGTCCGCACGCAGAAAGGGAGGTTTGCGCTAGATGAATATTTAGGGAGTCAACTGGCCACGGACATTGCTCAGTTTTGGAAGGAGGATCACGTTTATGAGTAAATGCTTAGACTCTGGCTCTCTACCTGCATATTGTCCGATTTAATGACCGTATAAGCCGACATGAAGTATCCAATGTGTCGGCAATTGCAGAAGCGGTATCTATAGGAATGCTTCAGTTGTAAGAAATATATAACTTATTTGACCAGCTTAAAAAAATCAACACCTTAGCCACAATAATCTGACCAACCCCAGTATTTTCTTGTCATTCCCTGAAAAGATTATCCAGACATTATTGTGACTAGCATTACAGATACCCGATGAGCCCCATTATCCAATCTCATCCAAAGTGAAGGCAGAAGCTCTAACTAACTGCAGCAGTGACGTAGGATGGGGTTGATCACGGAGTTTTTCACTTGACAGCCTGAGGCCAAGAAATTTCGCTAGGCTTCGTAGTACTCGGGTTGTGCTCCAGTTCCTAATTTGGAGACAATGGCATTTTTTAGCGCCAGGGACCACGAATGATTTGCCCCCTAAATGCCCGAGCGGCGAAGGAATCGAACAAAGTTCGAAAAACTTAGCCTGGGATGAGTCGGATATGCGGCCGGTTGACTAAGAGAACTCCGGAGCCTGAGCGAGCTTGCGCGTTTTCGACCTGAGAAAGGGAACCCAACGGTGCCACATGTGTGTCCAGTGTGGCGCAGGCCGCGTTATTATCCAGGAGAGCGTCCTTAGTCCTATCAAGGACCAGTAGGACTAAGACTCCAGTCCAGTCCTCCACAAGGCACCATCGTCATTCTAAGTTCCTACTATCGTTCATCCCCTCCTTCTTCCCCTCCTTTCCGTACATTGACATCCACCATTCTTTCTACCGACTCTGCGCACTGCTTGGATCGAGCGTCCTGTCTTTTGCGTACATTTATCTTATCTCTTCAGCGCTCACTTGCCGCTGCCGTTTGAAACTGATAGGTCAGATATCTTGACGCCTGGGCGCCATATCCGGGGAAGTCGGCAGCAACAATCATGGTATGTCCACGCCTAACCTACACAATCTTGTGTATAACTCAGAAATTGTTTTCTAACCCTGCGATTACTACTAGGGACACTCACGACGTCCTGCTGGCGGAGAGAAGAAGAGTCGAGGCTTCGGTCGGTCCAAGGCGGCTGCTGATGTGGGCGATGGGCGACAAGCGGGAGGCAAGCCTCAGGTGAAGAAGGCCACTTTTGAGAGCACAAAGAAGAAGGAATTCGGTGTTTCAGATCTTACGTTGTTGAGCAAAATCTCGAACGAGGCCATCAATGACAACCTGAAGCTGCGGTTTGAACATGACGAGATCTATGTAAGCATCATCCGCCGAATGGGGACCTCGAAATTCTTGCGCTACTGAGGATGTGTGCTGATCTGGATTCTTCGGATGATAGACATATATCGGCCATGTGTTGGTGTCCGTCAACCCTTTCCGAGACCGTGAGTTTACACCGAGCCATGTGCGATGTTCAAGGTCGCGTCGCTGACATCGTTGCTCCGCAGTGGGTATCTACACCGACAATGTTCTCCAGTCTTATCGAGGCAAAAATCGACTCGAAGTGCCTCCCCACGTCTTCGCGGTCGCAGAATCGGCCTACTACAACATGAAGTCCTACAAGGATAACCAGTGCGTGATTATCTCAGGAGAGTCGGGTGCAGGAAAAACGGAAGCTGCGAAGCGGATTATGCAGTACATCGCCAGTGTATCCGGAGGCACTGACTCGTCCATCCAGCACACCAAGGAAATGGTGCTAGCTACCAATCCGTTGCTCGAGTCGTTCGGTAATGCAAAGACACTGCGCAACAACAACTCCTCACGGTTTGGGAAGTATCTCGAACTGGAGTTCAACACAAACGGTGAACCCGTGGGGGCCAATATCACCAACTACCTGCTCGAAAAATCCAGAGTAGTAGGACAAATCACAAACGAGCGAAACTTTCACATTTTCTACCAATTCACCAAGGCGGCGCCACAGAAGTATAGAGGTGAGTTGAGATTTCAGATCTCTTCAGTGTTTCTCCTGTTGACAGACAGATAGATCTGTTCGGCATTCAGCAACCGCAGTCATACCTCTACACCAGCCGATCGAAATGTTATGACGTCCCTGGCGTTGACGATTCTGCTGAGTTCCGCGATACCTTAAATGCAATGAGCGTGATTGGCATGGCGGAGAGTGAGCAAGATGATGTCTTCCGTATGCTGTCTGCGATCTTGTGGATCGGCAACGTTCAATTTGCAGAAGACGATTCTGGAAACGCTGTTATTACGGATCAGTCAGTGGTTGACTATGTCGCATACCTTCTGGAGGTCGATGCTGCTCAGGTGAACAAGGCATTTACCATTCGGGTGATGGAAACTGCTCGTGGAGGTCGCAGAGGGTCAGTCTATGAGGTTCCACTCAATACTGTCCAAGCTCTTGCCGTCCGTGACGCATTGGCCAAAGCAATCTACTTCAACCTGTTCGATTGGATTGTGCAGCGTGTCAACGCCTCCTTGACTGCCAGAGGAGAGATTGCGAACTCAATTGGTATTCTGGATATTTATGGGTTTGAGATCTTCGAGAAGAACTCCTTCGAGCAACTCTGTATCAACTATGTCAACGAGAAGTTGCAGCAAATCTTCATCCAATTGACCCTAAAGGCTGAGCAGGATGAATATGCTCGTGAGCAGATTCAGTGGACCCCCATCAAATACTTTGACAACAAGGTCGTGTGCTCGTTGATCGAAGACAAACGTCCACCTGGTGTATTCGCTGCCCTAAACGATGCCTGTGCAACCGCGCACGCCGATTCCAGCGCTGCGGATAACACGTTCGTCGGAAGACTCAACTTCTTGTCTCAAAATCCCAACTTTGAGAACCGCCAGGGTCAGTTCATTGTCAAGCATTACGCCGGTGATGTCAGCTACGCTGTCGCTGGAATGACAGACAAGAACAAGGACCAGTTGCTGAAAGATCTTCTGAACCTTGTCGGAACAAGCGGCAACCAATTCGTCCATTCCCTCTTCCCCGAGCAAGTCAATCAGGATGACAAGAGACGCCCACCCACCGCCAGCGACAAGATCAAGGCCTCGGCTAACGACCTGGTGGCAACCTTGATGAAGGCCCAGCCCTCGTATATTCGGACGATCAAGCCGAACGATAACAAGGCGCCTAAGGAGTACAACGTCGGAAACGTTCTGCATCAGATTAAATACCTTGGTTTGCAAGAGAACGTTCGAATCAGACGTGCTGGTTTTGCCTACCGTCAAACATTCGACAAGTTTGTGGAGCGTTTCTACCTTTTGTCGCCGAAGACGTCTTACGCAGGTGATTACACATGGACAGGGGACGCTGAATCTGGCGCTCGTCAGATTCTGAAGGATACCAGCATACCCGCCGAAGAGTACCAGATGGGAATTACAAAGGTGTTTGTCAAGACTCCAGAGACGTTGTTTGCTTTGGAAGCCATGCGTGACCGTTACTGGCACAACATGGCCATCCGAATCCAGCGTGCGTGGCGAAACTATCTTCGCTATCGTACGGAGTGTGCTATTCGCATTCAGCGGTTCTGGCGTCGCACCACTGGTGGTCTCGAGTTCATTAAGCTGCGCGATCAGGGACATCAGCTTCTCAACGGGCGTAAGGAGCGTCGTCGGATGAGTCTGCTCGGTTCACGCAGATTTCTTGGTGATTATGTCGGGGTGGGCAACAAAGGAGGACCCGGCGAGATGATCCGTAATGGTGCAGCCATCAGCGGTGAGTACTTGGGAACGCTGAAATACAGCTTGATGACTGGCTGACTTTCTTTCTACAGGATCAGAGGATATTCTCTTTTCATGCCGCGGCGAGGTTCTGGTCTCCAAGTTTGGTCGGTCCAGCAAGCCTGCTCCTCGTATACTAGTCTTGGTACGCTGATTGTTCGACTTTCTCTTGTGCTTGGTGCTAACTCTTCTCTATCAGACCAACCGCCACGTATACATCATAGCGCAAAACCTGGTCAACAACCAGTTGGCCATCTCGTCAGAAAGGACCATTCCAATCGGCGCCATCAAGGCTATCAGTGCCTCGAACTTGAAAGATGACTGGTTTTCAATAGTGGTTGGCAGCCCACAAGAGCCTGATCCTCTTCTCAACTGCGTGTTCAAGACGGAATTTTTCACCCACCTGAACAACACTCTGCGCGGACAATTGAACTTGAAGATCGCGGACCAGTAAGTGTCACTGTTGGAGTTTGGCCTTGCCCCAGCTAACTAGGTTCAGCATCGAGTACAATAAGAAGCCGGGCAAATTGGCCACCGTCAAGGTCGTCAAGGATCCTGCTGTTGCCCGAGACGACAGCTACAAGAGTGGTTCTATTCACACTGGTCCCGGAGAGCCTGCCAACTCGGTATCCAAGCCAACACCGAGGCCCAAGCAAGTTAGTGCGCGTCCCGTCACGAACGGAAAGCTACTTCGTCCTGGTGGCCCAGGAGGGCGGCCTTCCAAGCTGGCGGCCAGACCCACTCCCGCAGCTCAACCCCTGCCCCGTGCCACTCCGCAGCCAGCCGCACCTCAGCCAGCTGCTAGGGCCGTTCCTCAGCCTGTTGCTGCCGTCGCTGCTTCTCACGCGCGCACCGGTTCAACAGCTTCAGTGAGGGCTCCACCTCCTCCGCCACCCGCGGCTGCACCCGCTCCGAAAAAGCCGACCGCAAAGGTTTTGTATGACTTCAATAGTCAGCAAGCCAACGAGCTGTCAATCAAGGCTGGTGAGATTGTGCAGATTGTTTCCAAGGAAGGAAATGGTAAGCATGGAAGTCCTTTTACGTCCTAACGGTCTACTAACGAGTGATAGGTTGGTGGCTGTGCATGAACATGACGACTTCGGCGCAAGGCTGGACACCGGAAGCATATCTCGAAGAGCAAGTCGCTCCGACACCGAAACCTGCTCCCCCTCCGCCGCCACCGACAGCTCCGAGGTCGACCCCAGCACCGGCGACCAACGGTGCGGCTGCGGCGGCCAAGACCAAGCCAGCACCTCCCGCACCCCCAGCGAAGCGGCCGAACATGGCGGCACGCAAGGCCGTGCCCGCACCGCCACCGGCTCCTCGCGACAGCGCTGTAAGCATGAATTCTCACGACTCCTCTGGGGGTAGCGGTCGTGGGACACCCAATAGTATGTCCAACGCAAGCTTAGCTGGTGGACTTGCAGAGGCATTGAGGGCGCGACAACATGCAATGCAAGGAAAGCAGGACGACGATGACGACTGGTGATTGTCTCTTTGCTTTCCGTTCCCTTTCCTTTATCCCGCACATTGACTCTTGCACCCCATATATTCTTTCCTCCTGCAGTTTTCCTTCACTCTACTTCTCCTCGCTCGGCCTTCATTAGATTGTTCCATTGTCGCACGTTGATTTCCGCAAGTTGATTCTTTTCGGGTCTGGCTTTTTGATACCAAAAGAGCGAGCCTAGATTGTTTGGCGCTTGCATACTCTGATATTGACTGATGCCGGAGGCATGGATTGACTGTAGGTATTTTCCTACGAACCAACATAGAGCGTCGTATATAGCAATTGAATAAGTTGGGAGTAGTACAGTACCGCAAAATGCGTTCGATATTCATAAACATGTCATGGTTATCACGACCATCAAGGCCACGAGCATCATATCAACAGCTTAAACCGTGGAGTAGCCTACAGAAACTTGCTAGCCAGCTGCAACAGACCACCACCAGGGCCACCGGTGCCAGCCATACCACCACCTCCACTCTTCATGTACATCTTGAGCGCCATTTCCGCCGCCGCATTGATAGCAGACTGCTTATCGCCATTCTACAACAGTCAGCACATACAAAAGCCAAGGCAGAAACGAAGGAGCAAACTTACCACCTGCCCACTGGCCTCCTTCTCCTCAAACATCTTCTTCGCCTGCGCCATCGCCAGCCCAATAAACGCATTCTTGTCCATCCCGCTCTTCTCCCCCTCCGAGGAAGTCGTGAACATCTTGAGCGCTTGCAACGCCGCCCCCGCACCGAGGGAGTTTGAGTCGTGTCTCCGCTCGCCTTCGCCGCCGCCGTTGCCGCCGTAGAGCGACTGGTGCGCGTGGATCATTTCCTGCTCATTGATGTCGTTGTCGTTGGAGAGGCGGTGCTTGTTCTCGTTTAGGAAAGACAGGGCGGAGGTGAAGAGGGAGGTGTCGGACGTGTTGGCGTGGGATTCGGCGTAGCGGACGGCGGGGTTGAACTCGTCGTTGTCGTCGTATCTGTTGTCCTGTCTGTTGTTGTTGTTGTTGTTGTTGTTGTTGCTGTTGCCGTGGCCGGAGAGGGCGTCTTGGATCATGTTTGAGAAGGACATTTTGGTTGGTTGGGTTCTTTTTCGGTTGTATGGAATGAGGGACGGTTGGATATGGTAGGTGTGGGAGATGGATGTGGATGGAGCTTTATATACTACAAACAACAATGGGGATCTGTTTGTACTCTGTAATGAACTAGCTGAGGGGTCGCTGCCAGCTACGTATGAGGGGTGGAACAGATCTGGCGGGGCAGTGGGACACCGACTCAGCCACAGACTAGTATCGTGACTATCATTTCACTCAGCGCTCCTCAGAAGCAATATTCGACTATTGAACTCTATAACAAAGAGAAAAGAGATAAATGAATGGATTGTGGTATCATAGTCGCTGTAAACATCAAAGCAGATAACCTCCCAAGACCCACCAGGCTCAGCCACAGCCCCAGAGCAGCAAAGCCACTAGAACAGAGTAAATGATGAAGATTCCCTAACGCCACAGCACCAGCCATATGCAGACTCCTACAGCAGTAATGTCTCGTGTTCTTCATCGCTCAGATTCCACCAGAACCTCATCTGTCGCTCCCGCTCGCTGAGCACACACCGCTCGTCCTCGTCGAGGTCCGCCTCACGTATCCACTCGTTGGGAAGCCCCCGTGGTCCGTACGGCTGGCCCCATTGCCGGCGGTCAAACTCCATGAACCCGCCAAAGTGCTCGTCTGTGTTCGCCACCCAGATCGTGCTGCCGTCCGGTGAAAAGTCCGCTCCGCCGATCTCTCCAAAGAAATCATGGACCTGCCGAGTCTGGTACGTCTGCGCATTGACGATGGCAATCCGGTCCGCCGGTTCGGCCAGTAGCAGCGTTCGGGGGCCTCCACCGACCGGGGAGAATCGGACAGAGCGATACCCTGCTACGTCTGACTCGATCGTTTGTAAGATTCGCCAGGTGCGGGCGTCCCAGATGATCACAGTCTTGTCTTGGTTGCTTGTAGCGATGTGTCGCATGTCCGGCGACCATGCGCACGCGAAGCCGAAATCGCGATGACCACGGAGCGGCTGCACCGGTCGCCCTGTGTCTGCTTCCACCACCCAAGCGTCCGGGGAATCCCCAATGACCACACGCAATCGCCCATCGGGGGACGTGGCGGTGCAATTGATTGCTCGCGACAGCTCGTGATCCGCAATAAAAGTGTTGGTCTCACAATCCAGCACGCGAAGGTGCTGGTCATTCGACGCAAATATCGCCATCGGAGCATGACTTGTCCGGCTCGGGACGATATCAATGTGGTTGGTGATGCCATTGGCATTGGTCGTCACATACCCCTCCACATTTGCGCCCTCCTTGCCCGCCGGTCGCAGGGCATATTCCCCGGTAAACCCACCGGCGATGCAGACATTGTGCGCAGATTTCATGGTCGAAATTTTGACAGGGCCGCGGAATCCAGAATTAATTGGCGGTTTGGACAGGTCAATCAAGCAACTCAGGTCCTCATGCGCCGGAACCCACGAGTAGACCTTCGACTCGTGTGAGAAATGGACCGTGTTGTATGCCGGGACAGACATCAAATTCCGCAGCTGGAAGTGTTCGATAGAGGCACGATGTTTAGTGTGCATCGATTTCTCTCGAAAATAGAACTCTTCTTGCGGAAGTTTGCCGTCCGTCTGATGATGCGGATAGTCCACGTTGTGATACGACGTATACCAGAGGTCTCGTAGTTCACGTGCATCCGACCGCTTTACGCGTAGGGCTTCCCACCAAGGGATCTGTTGAATATCGTAGAAGTCTCTGTTGTAGTTGTTCGGCCGGATAATCTTCTCCGGCGGCGTCCATCCGAGAATCCTGGACAATGGGTACGGCGGTAGCAACCTGGATATCAGCGGAAGACTAGGTGTTGAGCGCGTGGTCGATTCCAGGAGCCACTGGTTGATAAACTGATCGATATTGAGATTCCGTTCGTGAGCTACATCCGACGAAACGATTAGCCAAGCTGTCTACCGAAAACAGATTGATGAATACTCACTCGTGCCGTGGATTACAGATGCAGGAAGGTGGGCGTCTATTCCTGGGACCCCTCCTATCGCGTCACCTTCTGGAAAATTGTTGTGATCGCCGTGATTACCGACAGGGGCTGCTTCCATCACCATTGGAAGCGGATCATAGTCGAACGCTCGGTAGAAATCGTTAAAGTCGACATCGGCGAGTTGCGCGGTAGCTTCGCGCGTCCGCGGACGGTCCATGTGCTCTTGGTAATAGTCATCGTCATGATCCAGATAAAACTTTTGCGTATCGTCGGGATCCTCCTCATGGTCGGAGACGCTAAACCCATCTCGCGGCATTGGTGACTCGTAATCCATAATCAAATCGCCCACATCGTCCTCGTCGCTTTCTTCGGGAATGGCAGAAAAATGGTGTCCCAGGGTTGGATCGTTCGCCAGGATACTGTCCATGGCCATTCTGCCACTGGTCATGTACGGTCCGATAGGCACTCCACCTTGATGACCAAGAACATCAGTTGTTTCTGAATCAGACATATACAGATCCGCTGGTGGGGACGACGAGCGGCCGACTGATGCAGCTCGGACGTGCCTCCCCTCTCCCCGAAGATACTCTTCCCGCCCGATGACGGCGTTAACGACTTCCGAGACGGCGAGAGCATTCGAGTCGTCGTCGAAAGCGTTCGGGTATTGAGATACGGCGGTGAAGGCGGAGATACCCGCATCGCTCGAGCCCACGTCATTTCCTTGAGTGAAGCCGACATCCTGAGATTCCGAGAGTGTTGCTACTATCGGAAACTCGTCAACATCCGTGCGCAGAGCAGCATGCTCATCGCCTTCCCTGGACATCTCGTCAGAGTCCTGGTCATCATAAGAGGAGGCCTGTCCGAACGACATATCCACAGGTCGCAGTCGTGATGGCCCAGGTGCATCACATGACGAGGGGTGAGATGTCCGATTACGATAACTGGGATGCGCAGGATTATCGTAAGGCGACGTGAACAACGATGACGGCGATGACGATGATGATGATGGTGATGTAAATGCAAAGTCACTTGGACCGGGCATCCCTTGGTTGTACAAGTCGCTTCTTGCCGAGACGCAGGCTTGCGCAAGCCACAGAGGGATGATCTAGCCAGGTCCAAGCCGATAAAGCCGAGAAATCGCAGGAAGTATTATTCCAAATTGAGACTGATAGGCACCAGACCGCACCAAGCGTCGTACAGGCGTGGAGAGATAACCGACCACGTTGTTCCTTGTCGGGGATCAGGGATTATGGCGTCTCTGCTCTGCAATCGCCAGTCACCCCGCAGCTAGTCTCCCTCCACCCCCACAGTGCGGCGAGAAGAAGGCTGTCCGATATTAACTTAGGGAAAGGAAGATTCCGACCGAGTCAAAGCCGAGTCCTTAACGATATGTGGTTTTGCAAGTTGTGCGGAAGTGTCAAGGCGCAATGATAAATCAGGTCGCCTAGCACCCGTAACAAGGGAGATGATTGATCTCAAAACGGTGAGGGGGCGGTGTCGCAGTATGTATGTGGGTATGTACGTAAAAGGCAATAGTCGCACGCTCAGCCCGTAAGCATGAGTAATGTCATAAGACACAGAAGCCGAAGACAACCGGTGGATAAATGATGAGACAACGGCCTTTGACTACTAGGCTGTTATGCCCTGTTCTGGTTAGTGGCTTCTCGATGGCTGCACAAGTTTAACGTGATGTGAGAGGACAATGTTAAAAGTGCTGCAGACAAGAAATCAGCACCGAGGTTCAAATGTGGGTAGGAACGGCGCACTTCAGCATGGCCGGCGTGTTGGGCACAAGAACGTGCATAACCCGGATGTATCTAAGAAGATAGTGGTCGATCTGAGCGTCAGAGGCGGGTGACGATCAAGACACTAGGTACAAAATAGAACGGATATTTAAATTGACAGGGAGATGACAGGAAGAAGAGATTGATGGACCCAAAGGATGAATAGGGGGTTTCTGGTTGAGGCAGTTCAGATCATAAACTAGGATATCAGCTGAGCGATGAGGTTAAATGAAGAGGGGATAGTGGATGACAAAGGAGAGTCTTAGTCAGAGTGCCAAGTTGTGCCTAGGTAGTTTTAGATAACTCCTTATAACTCAATAAACATCGACCCGTCATTGATCATTTATCAGTTGATTATGGCAGCAAAGAAATAGAAGAAAGGATCAATTACAGTCGGGAATAGGGCAAGTCTGTCTAAGAGGTCTCTAGGTACTAGGGAGCCCATCACGACAGGCATTGGCATTGACAATAGGTTTAAATCTTTGAATCCGACTCTATAATATCATGAGAATAGGATGTCTGTGGACGGAATTGTATTACATGCAATAAGCAAGAATGTCAAGAGGCCATACTTAATAGTTCCATGAACAAGTAAGCTCGAAGCGCCACATGGTAATTGGTTCAAACAAGCTGGAGAAGAAATACATACATCAAAAATCGACCAAGGGCTCGACAGATATTATATGACATGGTTCGAGACGCCGCTCCAAAATTGAATGCAACATATTACAAGAATCTTTTATCATGATGATTATCCAGTATATCGCAACGAAATTCAATAGTCCGAGTAGGGCTCATATTGTGCGGGATACCCTCCGCCAAAAGGAGGTTGTGCCCATCCACTCTGCATTCTCAGTCGGCGATCTGGTGAGGAGGTTAGTCAGTGTCATCATCCCTGGGACAATCGAAAGTATCATACCTCTTTCAAAGTCTCGCCAACGTTTCATCGTAATCTTGCTGCTATCGAACTCTCCCTCGCCGGCTTCATGGCCCTTGTCCTCTTCTCCCGCCGTCTTACGAGTGTCTCCCCAGCTGAAGTCGTCAAACTTCCAGTAAGCATACGTCGGAAGGACAAAGTTCCAGATTGGAAGTGAAACGAGATAGATCAACATCCACAACACGTAAACCAAGCGATGCGCAGTCACGACAATGAGCACACCCGGCAGACCCAGGATGAGCCCGAGTAGTACCAGGGGGATGATTTGGACCGGTTTCTTGATGATGGAAATGACGACGACATAGAATGTGAATGCGATGGCTGCTGGAAGGACAAGGGTGCCGACCAACTCGATGAAGATGACAAACTGCATACTGAAGCAGAATGTTCCGCAAAGATCCCGGACGAGCACGAGTTCCATGAGGTTGTGGACAGTACTGTTGATCCAGCGACGACGCTGAGAGAGAAGCACCGAGAACTTGTCTGGCACCACGGTCTTACACACAGCCTGGGGCACAAAGATCTGCTTCCGCTTGGGGAAAGTTCGCAGCATCAGAGTCGACAGGTAACGATCTTCACCCAGAAGAAGCAGGTTCTTCTTGTGGAGAGTGTCCACCACGTTCTCAGAATAGTGTTCCACCACATCGGGATTGGCTAAGATGGGAACCCAATAATTCTGGCCTCCCTTGGGCGCCTTGATGCGGTACATACAGAAACAGCCAGGCAGACACGTCACACCACCGAATACCGACTCGAAAGCCTTCGATTGATGATGCGAAATGAAGTATCTGCAAGCTTTATTAGAGACGGAAAGGTAAAAAAAAAGGAGGGAAACACATACTCGAAGACCTGGATCATTGTCACCCAACTATCTGTCTTGTTGGCGATCTTGGTCTCGCCACACAACCCCATGACATCTGGATCTTTCACCATAGCAGAAATCATATGGGTCAAGCTGTCGGGGAAAACTTTTGTATCTGCGTCAACCATGAGGACGACTTCGTAGAAGTCTGGCGGTATCCCTGTCACATTCCAGAGCCCATTAAACATTTCATACTCCAGTTCCGTCATTCTCTCATCGAACATGACCTTTTGCAGGAAAGACATAAGAATAATTTGACTGTCTCTCTTGCCTCTGTTTCCAGGCTTTGCCTGCGTTGCCTCAGCCGGTGTACCGCACTTCACGATGATCATCATGGGTACACGCTGCTGCTTCTCCGGCGGGATAACGGAGGTCTCGCCGTAGTCGTAGAACCCGGAATACACTTTCGCCATGTTATGACGCTTGGAACCGGTGGCAACGGCCACATAGGAGAATGCCTCAACCTCATCCATGGGAATGACAGGATCTCGCATCATGCGAAGGACGATTTCCGGGGTGGAGTATTCTTCACCCTTGCCCTTGATCATACCATCACAAATGACGATGATAGTCTTGTGGCTGTTGGGGTAATCGGTCATGGCGATAGAGTCCAGCGTAGTACGGATACCTTCTTCGCCTTCAGAGTAGCAAGTGACCAGACACAGGGCGTGAGCAAGAGGAAACCCGTACGGCTGCCATTCAGGAGGAGGTTGTGGGACAACCGCTTCGTGGATATATGCAGATGACCCGATGCCATCGGACTCCGCCGCGACGACGAGGCTTGAGCGACTCGCAGACGGGTTCAGACGCGATGGCTCTAGATGCAATGAGCCACCACTGCTGTTGTGGCTCTGTTTGTACATAGAATTCGCGGTGCCTGGGAGTAGCCGGGAGGTGGAGTTTTGACTGGCCATCGTAACGAACTGAGGCCTTTGTTTGCCTCCGTTGCTCACAGTATAGGGACTGGAGAATCGTGATGTTGTCGGTAAGAAGCTGGCTCGCTTAGTAGGACGGTCAGGCAAGTGTTGGTCGGCAAGGCGAGGACCAGGCCGATAGATGTCATTCGACCAGTCCTCAATCTCCTGCTTGCGGGTTTTCGAATCGGCTCCCATGCTGGTCTTCGAAGCCGCATACCGAGGAGAGACGAACCACTGGAAGAACAAGGCAAAAACGAATTTGACGGCGACAATCGATAGGATGAATATCAAGGACACGTAGAGAACCACCTTGGACGCGATACAACCAACCGTGTCCGTATCAATAGTACCGACCTTGATTATCTGTGACAGGCACTTTCCAATCCTTTTATCCTCGCCCGTTTGGAGGTAGTACGTCAAGTCAACGCCGCGCACATCCGGGTTCGTGCGAAGTTCAGTGAATTTAGCGGGAATGTTGACCTGAGATTCGTCGAGCCAGTTCAGAAGGTCAAAGTCCAGGACGTTTCCTGAGTAAACCGCAAGATTTCGACTCTTGTTCCTTGTATCAGCCCACGTGAAGTACACATCGCCTGAGCTCCGCAGGCTGTAGAATGCCTTCCGAGCGGTTCCCGAAGTGTGGCAGCCCCAGCCATTATAGGATGGCGAGGTGAAGTTCGGCTTCGAGGAGCCATCTTGATCGAAAGCTGTACAGGGGAAGTACCAGGCGAGATCTCCGTCTGAATTCGAAGGGATATCTGATCCTGGTTTCAAGGTGATGAGATCTTTGCAGGCGCCGTTGACCTGTTGGAAGAAGAAACTTCCGTCCTGTCCTCCATACTTGTGAGGTAAGTCATAGAGAACGTTAGAGTCACCCGGAATACCCGCAGCCGCTGGATGCTTCGACCGAGATAGGTCATAAGCCTCCCCATGAAAGATCATGTACCCACGGTCGACATGATTGATCTTCAACCGTGTCGGAGGCGACGAACAAACAGTTGCAGTGAAACCAAACGTGAGGAAACCGACAAATGCTGCGATAAGGAGAATGAGACTGATAAGACCTATTTTCTCACGCCAGGCTTCTCGCTGAGCCTTCTGCGGCATCCCAAAACATTTCAGAATGAAGTTGGGGGCCCAAAAAGTGATGATTGCACAGTAAGCACTCCAGGGGCTCGGCGGACGAACTTGCTCCATGGCCTTCTGCCGTCGTTTTTCCTCTGCAGCTGCCTTTCTTGAGAGTTTTCGAGACTTCTTCCTCTTCGACCGATGACGGCTCGGCGCCCGCTCCATGGGCTTGTTGATATTTCCGTGTGTAAGATCACCGTCCCTTCCTCCGTGCTCTGTACTTTGCGAACTGTCTCTGTTGAGCTCATCGCCTTCGATCAGCGGTTCATTCCCGGTTGTTGACGGGAATACCGGCATATTTTGAGACTTTTGACTATAGTGATAGTTGGGATGGTTCTCATCGATGCGACTGCGCTCTGGCCTCACTTGACTCTTCTTGTGCCCACCGGGTTCGAGTCTCTCTTCGTCCATATCCCTAGTTCTCCTGGAGCTGTGCGAATGGCGGCGATGGTGGTGTCGATGTGGGCTGGACAGTGTCTCGTTGTTGTCGCCCGACTCGATATCCCGACGTCGTCTGCGCGAGGTGTCTCGGAACGCCTGCGTTTCCTCTCGCCGTGGGGAGACCTTTCCCGGCCTCTGGGGCAAAGACATGATGCTTCTATGGATTCAGAAAGACCTTGTCAGTGACCCTGACTGGTATCCATCGAGATCCGACAGAACAGGATCGGAAAACGCTGTGCCAGAGACACTCACCTTTACTGGCTGCCGAGCATGAATGGACTTGAAATTTTTTCAAATATATCGCAGTAGTTGAGTGCCTTTTACAGGGGCTAAGTTATTAGATGTGGGGGGACTGCCGAAGTCGCGATATATCTGTCGCGCACTGAGTCCGCAATGTCCTCCTTTCTGTCGAATACTGTAAGCGACTGCCTGAAGGCTTACAATAACGCAGAGCGAATAAATCCAACAAGGGACTCGAATGTTGTCAACGATCGTGGATTGTCGTGTGTGAGCGAGGGCTGAGGATAATCGCTGTGGACAGAACGCGGGAGAATTGACTCGATCAGAAGGCCTCGTATTATTCAAGCGAGCGACTGAAGCCGATCAAGACAGCATATTGAGGATCGCAATCGAGAGCGAAGATGGGAGCATGCAACGAAAAGAACGAAGCGGAAATTTGGGAAGAAAGCGCCCCGTGTTGAAAAGAGATTACTGGAGAGGTTTGGACGGTTGGGCCATGGAAAGACAGCGATGGCAGGCGACCGAAGATGGTGCGATGCGGAGCAGGCTGGCCAGACCAAGAAGGGGTAAAGAAAAATACGGCCAACCACTACGACGGAGAGGACTTACACCATACACTACCTCTAGGAAACTGGGAGTAGGTACCCTTGGAACTGGAGCAACCTTAAAAGTATTTTTCACAAGGTGAAGCGCTTTCATTTGTGAGTATACGACTGTTTTATGTTCCGTACAATCAATACTGCAATAGATATTCTCCCTTGCGTGCTTACTCAACAGGCCTCACGAAATCATCTTGAAATTGCGGCCTGCGTTATATTATCATTATCCAAGACCCCGAGCAAGCGTCTTTCACCTGCAGTCAATCAGAAGATTTAGCGAAATGAACTGTCATAAAATGATCATAAAAGTCATGCTAGAGTCTACCTAGTACATACTACTGTATCTAGGACACCGGGCTAGAGGCGGTAGTGCTGCGACCTTAGCAGGCTTCTCCAATTATTGTACACAAATAAGAGCCATGTGCTCTGTCGCTAGGGGCAATCTAATATTACTAAGCCTCTTTTAGAATTAGTGAGTCCAATGGTCTGCTAAGGGTCGACTTACAATAGCGCTTATTGGTTATATCATTGGAAGAAATACAATCTAGCCATATATGGGAAAGCTTGAAGATGATAAGCCAATCATACAAAGCCCAGCCTTTTTGAGTTTCCCTGGTCCTTACTCCTCAAATGATCTAAAATTGAAGTTTCCAAGGGTCACCACTCCGCAGAGTCGAGTACGTACGGAGTTGGTCCTGGACCTTTGCTGAAGATGCATTTTATCTCTGTAGTTCATTGCTGAGACATGCTCCAGCACGCACAGAAAGTATTGGAAGAAGACAACATCAATACTCCATCCGTCAGCCATGTTGTCTGAGACATTGGACTTATGCATGTAAAATTGTACTGGACTACATACTACTGGTGCATCTTAGCCACCTCAGCGGGAGTATTCTATTTTCAGATACAGCACAAAGTTAAAACTTAGAACAGCCCAGCCTGAGCTTGTTGGGTCAGATATGCTAAGAAACCACTTGTCACATAATTTTGTCAAAGCTGGCGGACAAATTTTTCAATGCAATCCAAGGAGGAAATCCTTATTATACATGTCCACGCACTGAATAAGAGATACAATAGATTCCTTTTCACATATACAGAGTACATGTAGCTGTGTAGGTAACCACCCGTTGACCTAAAATGTCTCGGCTGCATGTCTTTAATATCCGGCTGACCCGATGACTCGGCCTGGGCTCCGAACCATGCCAATGTGTTGTTGTATTCGCGAGATTATCCATCGCCCCATCAAGAACTTGACTTGGTTGATTATTAAACATTACATGCTATCCATGTGTTGCTATTCATGTGTGATGAGCGCAGAATTAATCTGCTATGTGACTAATGGTGCCTCCAATAGGTAAAGCCTAGATACCGTTCAGCCACCAGAAGTGCATCTCCATAGGAAGAGCAAGACCGTATACGACTTTCTGAAAACCGCTTCCTGCTATCTACGCCTAGTTCAGGGGCCGTGTGGCGGTGCTAGAGCTTGAACCTTACAAATGATGGATTTGTTTCCACAGACTGAACATTTCAGTTGTCTGGATTTTCTGTGATGTCTAGTCTACTCCAAATAACTAGCTATCTCCTCTCTTTGTTAATTGCCAAGACTTAAGTCTGAACCAAGCAGCGAGGGTTCTCATGGTTTCAACGAAGCATATCATAATATGATCCATATGTGCATAAGCCCTGTAAAGAGCTCATATGCAGAATATCGATCCCAAGTTCTTAACAAGTAAGTGAACTATTGATCCTGCAGTCGTTAGGACTTAGTAGTGCCATGAGATCGATTGACTCGACCCCTACTCACCACTAGCAAGTCTGGCTCTCAGGAACTTGAATGATGGCACTTGCAATACAGATCCTCACGACTGCTCGACGTTCGCATTGCTCAATGCCTTCGGAATACCGATTGAGGGGAACTCCGTTGGTCCAGCACTGCGAACCCGACACAACGCGGAGAGTCCGATGCCATATATATGATACTGATCATGAAATCTGCAGTGCTATTTTCCATACTTACGCTGTACAATTAGACGGCAATGCATTGATATGTAGGGGAGCAAATTGACTATCATATACTGCAGGTCTCTCTAGTACCTTTAGTTATCATTTTCTCCGACTTTGGTCCTTCATCTGCCAGAGACACATCATCGGAATAGATCACTTTAGGAACTTTTAAGCGATGCTGAGACCAATAATGTCGTTTCCGTTAAGGATGCCTGGAGGGTCCTCTTACGCCAAAGTGTAGGAGATGAGAAGGCTGAGGCTGAAATACGAAGCGGCTGAGGGTACGGTGAGGAAGTGTAATTCCACCTCACCGTCCCAGTAATTTTTGCAGCTTGTGCTCAGGGAAGAAGTGAGAGAGCCTCGCTGCGCGGGAGTATTTCTGAACCGTATATCCGCTAGATCTTTTTGACTTTGAATTCAAAATGGGTGGAAATGAGGAATCCAGACCAGGATCATTAAACGTCTAAGCTGCTCCGCGAATGTTGTATGCGGAAGGACTTGGCTGTTGTATGCGGAAGGACTTGGCAAGGATTGGAGCATCGTCATTGTGCAAGCTCCACGCAGCAGGCTGTTTTTTATATTTTGATTTGAGTATGGACTGATGAGCCGCATTCTAGCGAGTTGTCTGGGTTCACTTTTTACGACCATCTTCCTTGTATTCTAAGTTTGTCCCTTTTCACCAGATAGATCTCCAGTTGTTCTTATGTGAATACCTTGATTAATGCGACCGTCAAGATCGGCATTGCGCATGGGGATCCATCATCCCTTGTTATTCTAAAGTGTTGTAACCTGCAGATAAATCAAGATCAAAAACATGTACTCTCAAGCGTGTAACTCTGTGCAACCTTTGACGTTGCTGTTTCATCATACCCTGAGTGCCTTCAGATACAACAAATGAAACCATGGAAGGCCCCTTAGTTGCCTAGTTGGGCGGATGTCCAGACGCTTCAACACTATTGGCTGATCTGTGATAATCATTGACTTCATAGAATTACCTCCACTCGGCACGGCATACTCCATACGGAGCCACTGCCACCAGAGACAGCTGTCTTTTTCTTGGAAGGACATTATTGCTATGTCACTACTCATCTAAAGAACTACTCTGAGTAATATCAGTATATCATACAGATTTTCAACCGATACTATTTTTGCCTCTGTAGCCTAAAATCTTCGGGATTCAGGCTTATGTTCTCCGTAATCAGTAAGCGACGGATGAATATTTGCATTTCGATCTAGTCTTAAGGCTCTGAGCGCTCTGTAACAATAAGTAAATATTACTGTTATCCCTTTCAAACAATAAGTCTCAGACTTAATCCAGAAACAAAACTAGCTTTCAGATGATTCTGGGATATTTAATGAGTCCACTGGTTTTTGCACCAGTTTCCAGCCAAGCCAAGATGAGAAAGAAGATGATAGAAGGAGGAAGACAAGCTGAAGATTAGAGAGTGAGGAAAATACCACAATCCCACATGACCATTTTCAGTGTGCTCAGGTGGGGATTTTAGGACGCTTTTCTGCTGCTTTCTTTGAACCAAATAATACTACTTCTGTCTGCCCAAGGTAGGTACCGCCCACTGGTAAAAGCAATACCCAGATCAATACGGGGGCGGAACCGGTCTAAAGTAGCAGCTAATGATCGGACTAGAGCCATTTATGGAGTTGGACTCTTCATATTCGCCCACTTGGTGCATCTCTCTGAGCGTCTTCTCTTCTCCAAAAAAAGTAGAGATTCCTTCGCTCAGTCACGCAATTGAGATTTTTGCTAGGTTTTCTGGCTTCAACTCTAGACTACACCCTTCAGATTTGCATCTTCACCTCATCCCCGCTGTATCCCCTGAGACAAGTATACGGAAATCCAACCATCCATCCTCTCCCTACTGTTGACAGGGTCGGAGTATTTACTACTACTGCGAGGCAGTGGACCCAACCCCGAGTCCCCTCTAGTCGACCCTTTACTTCTCCACGATCCTGGCTTCATCCCCAGGGCACAGTACAGATCTTGACTCGGTCGCTATAACCGCAATTTGCGCCATATTGTACGCAATCACAAGTCCAACCCTCTTTCACAATTACCGCACATTCGCTTGACCAAGTCTCGATGCCGTCGGATCTCTAAGCCCCCCTCCATCTTCAATCACCCCCTCGCTCCAGGTCAATTTGACAGTCTTCTGAACCGACGGCAATACAGGAATCCTGTCTCCTGTCTTTGCCGCTACATAATCTGTTTTCCAGGGAAAAAATGGCAAGCTCGGTAGCAGGCGAATACCCTCAACCGGTATCGTCCCCTCCCCCGGTCTATCTTCGATCATCTCCCCCGCTTTCGCCGTCTCAAAGTCAATCGACCCCCAGGTCGATACCCCAACAACGAGCCACACAACACATTACACGGAAGGCATTACCCGGCTCTCGATCTGAAAATGAATATCCTCCAGTACCGCCGGTCTATATTCACGATAACATGAATCTGCCGCAACCGTCCAACATGGTGCTCGAAAGTGCTCGCGACGATCGTGTCGGGAATTCTATCCCCACCACTGCTTTAGCCAATATGTCGCTTGAGGATCAATCGCAGAAACCCCAGAACAGCAATGGAGCATTTCCACCGCGCCGAGACTCTTACGCCCCTCCACCAGCCCCAGGATCGAGGAGAGCCAGGCATACGCCGGCTAGCAGCGGTTCCTGGTCTGTCATAGACAACCAGCTCAAAGATGAGACGAATGGCTCTATCCAGCCTTCTTCAGACCCTGCAGTTCCCAGTGGTAGCCAGAACAACTCCTCCCGGGGCAGCTTGGACAGTGAGGCTCGCCCCGAGAACTTCGAGCCCTTGCACTATCATCACCAACCGTATCGTAACTCCAATGTCGCACTCAAGTCGCCATCTGGTGCCGCTTCAGCCGAGAATCTGTCCGGCTCCAACGGTCATCTCTCAGCTAGACGGCATGGAATACCACGGCCAAACTCAACATACTCGTTCGTCTCGGAAATGGGCGGCGATGGTCGGAACTTGTCGCCTGGTGCTTCTCCCTACCTCCACGCACGCGCTTCACCGAGGAATTCCTCGTCCCCCGATGTCCGTCCACTTTCTTTTGTCGATCTCCTCAACACCTCCTATCCTCAGCCAGGTCCGACCCCCGGGCAACTGGACAACTCCCATCTAAAATCCTGGGTGGGCAACAATGCCTCCTTGCTCAGTCACAAACAGACCTTCGATATGTATCTCGCGAATGTGAAGAAAACGGACGACCCCGCGGTACAGTATGAGTTCGCTGTGTTTATGGTCAACGCGATGCTGGAAATGCCGCCGGACGATCATGAATCACGCAAGGACGCAGTGTATGGCCGAAAGGGGGCGGGAATCTCTCGGGAAAGTCTCCTCAAGGAAGCCAAGTCGATCTTTCAACGTCTGGCCGACCGCAGCTATCCGTTCGCGCAGTACTACTTGGCGGATGGATATGCATCCGGACTCTTCAGCAAGGGCAAGGAAGACTATGACCGAGCATTCCACCTGTTCGTGGCCGCGAGTAAGCACGGTCACGTCGAGGCCTGCTACCGTGCCGCCCTCTGTTATGAATTCGGCTGGGGAACCAGGGTAGAAGCGGCTAGAGCACAACAGTTCTACCGCCAAGCTGCCTCCAAGAATCATCCTGGGGCCATGCTGCGCATGGCCAAGGCCTGTCTGGCGGGCGACATGGGACTAGGCAAACGGTATCGGGAAGGAATAAAATGGTTAAAGCGAGCGGCGGAATCCTCCGACGCCCAGTACAACTCTGCGCCTTACGAACTCGGTCTCCTCCACGAAACGGGATTCGGCGATGACGTCTTTCCTGACCCGGCCTATGCAGCTCAGCTGTTTACCAGATCAGCGGATCTTGGCCATGCCGAGGCGAGCTATCGCCTCGGAGATGCGTATGAGCATGGCAAGTTGGCCTGTCCTCGAGATCCTGCATTGAGCATCCACTTCTATACCAATGCCGCACAAAGCGGGCATATCTTGGCGATGATGGCCTTGTGCGCTTGGTACCTGGTGGGCGCGGAGCCTGTTCTGGAGAAGGACGAAGGCGAGGCCTATGAGTGGGCCAAGCGAGCTGCAGAACTCGGTATGTGCGCACACGAACTCGACCGGTTAATTTACTAACTTTCTGCGTAGGACTGGCGAAAGCGCAGTATGCTGTCGGATACTTCACAGAGATGGGCATTGGCTGCCGTCGTGATCCATTAGAGGCCAACGTCTGGTATGTGAGAGCGGCGGATCAGGGCGACGAACGCGCAAAGCATCGCATTGCCACGATTCAAGCTGCCGCCGAGGGCAGGAGCCCTGCGCGGAGTGGAAAAGAAGGGCAAAAAGAGAATCAGAAATCTCTAGGTGCGTTCAACTACCAATTCGTGCTGTCTCGAGCTAATCTAATCCATGGAACAGATGCCGGAAAGTCTGGCAAATCTAAACGGTTCACTATTTTCTAAGAAAGCATGACGATCAGTATTCATGACAAGCCTTAATCCATCGGTCCATTCTCAAACGTTTATATGCTCCATATCACTATGGGATTAATACATAATGCGGATTCTACATACACATTTCATCGACCCTGACTGCCGCCTGACGTTCTGGCAAGGGTTACAGCGTTTAGCGCGCCTCGATACGGCTATGTTGTGGGGATTTCCCTTTTTTCTGCTCTGGCAGCCGGACACTTGTTTGAACCACCCATTTATGGAACTCGAACAAACATTGCATCCAATCCGTCATTGGTCATTCGTGTACAACGAGCCATCCTTGAGACTTTCAGTAGAGGATGAGCCTTACCATCATTCTATATCTCTTGCAAGCATCTGGTCGCCATCAATCTCTTTACTTTCTCTCATCCATCGCTGATGCTTGATTTTTCGGCGTACGGCAATGCTATACAGTTCATTAGCGGGTTTCATTGGGCGTTTGAAAATTGCGCGTGAATCTTCTTGATTACTTTGTTGAACCATTCAACAAGTCATAAACCTGGAGGTCTTTGAGATGTTCGTTAGGCCGGTATCAGAGATATGCAATGCTAATTTGGGAATTGTCGGTGCACCATTCTCTTGGAGCTATACGTAGTGTAGGTGACGCGCTGGAGTATTGTGGACATTCAGTAGTCCTGGTCAGTACCAGTACCTGTCGTGATGTCATGGTGAACATGCTGTGGGACCTCGTGAGTACCCTCTCAATGACTCTGTTATGACCGTGGCGTGTTTCTTACATGAAGATGCATTGATCGTAGTTTGTGGTGTGGCAAGTTTATACAGCCATCATTGTATATGGTGCTATTCTGCACCATCTACTCAGCTAAACTGATGTACAAAGAAATCACCATCCGCAATGCAGAATGTCTAGACTACCTGATCGTCTTGTACACGCGAATCAGATCCTTCCCCGGTACATCGAGCCGCCGCCCCTGCCATCATTGTGCCTGCATCAAAGCAAGTGCACGCTGTGGGTAATGGCCAATAAGTCCAGGCAACAGAGCGGATCCAGGTATATCACCAGCCATGGAGTAATATAATCCAACCTCCAGGCTAACATGATTTCCCCTGGACATACACTACTCCTGCCACTCATTCTTGGTATGGAGAACCCAGTATCCATCTCATGTCATCGGCAGCTCAATGTAGTACACATTACCCACAACCAGCGCCCCATCGTCCAATAACAAGGTGTACGGACACCGGACTGCAGATCAATGATCACTGATCAACAGCGCGATAGCTGATCCCGCCGATTGTGTTTCAGGTTGCTGCGTCGCTTCCAAAAATACAGAGGACAGGGCGAGAGTCAGCGTCAGAGACAGCCTAGGCTGGCTCCTCTACGGAGTAAGGAAGGTAGCTTAGGCAGGCTCATTGTCCCACCAACCCGACCTCCTGATTTTCATTCAGTGTGGCAGAAAGGTACATAACCTGCTGCTCTGCTCAGCCTCCCACGTTCCTGCATCCTGACTTCTACTTTCGGACAGTCGACTGCTGTAGAGAGCTCTGTAGACTCGTGCGTCCATCGAATTCGTTCAGTTCAGGTACGTACATGGACCCTGTCATAAAATACTCCCTTCCAGCCCCTTCACACGCTGCCAGCAGCCAGCCTGCTAGGTAGCAATTAGTCTTACAAGGGGCGCAAAGAAGATACTTTAATCACAACCACCGTTGGTAAAAGCTATCAAGGGATACCGATCTGACAAGTCACGCAACACAGATTCCACAACCACCACCACGACCACCACCACGATCATCCACACTTTTACCGAGAATCTACGTACCCGTCATCGATACCGCTTTCATACTTCAAAACATTCGCAAAAATCCAAAATGCGTCTCCTCTCGCTCGCCCTCCTCCTCTCCGCCGCCATGGCGCTGCCTTCCGCCGAGAAGTCCTGCTCCGGCGTAAGTACTAAGTCCACTCACATACCTCCCCTCTCCCTGCCCATACTCATACTCATCCCCATCCTCTTGCTCTGCCACGGAGCTTGGATCAATTGCGAACGGCTGTGCACGCAAGCTAACTAACTCCTTAAATAAAGGTCGGCTTCCCCTGCGGTAACGCGACAGTAAACGCCTACGACTGCTGTGTCCCTCTCGTCTGTGCCCCGGGCGCGGTAAGTCCCAAGTCCCTCTCTCTGCCTCGTGCGTCGTCGGCATCGCCAGGATGAAAACTGATGAAACCGGAACCGAATTAGCAACCTGTTTGCCAACAGCCTCGTTCTTTTTCATCTCGCAGAATCAGAATGTGATCGTGAAGGATAAGCGCAGAGGGTGCGGTTCTATTCGTGAGTGCGAGTCGCTACTAGAGGTTGAAGACCATGGATGGATAGTGTTTTGAGTCGATCGATGACAACCAGGCGGCGGATATGGGTTCCCCGCTTCTTGTACTTGTAGATTAATCTTGTCGATAATGCAGTGTCATACCGCTGTTACTTTTGTTTACGAGGGCGGAGACGGGCGGACGATAAGATAGAGAGGAATGGAACGCAAAATTGGCTTGAGGCCGACATATAGATAGGCACTAATGATAGTCGTATTCTACTTTCCCTGAGACCGCTTAAATCACCAGATACTGGAACACTCATGCGGATGGGTATGAATGATCGCGGCTACAGTTACGAGATTGAACAGGCAGTTACAATCAGTATGAAATTGCATATACAAGAGAATACACAAGGAAAACAGTCGATTCGGCCCAGGCGGTAGACATGAATAAAAAGTTATATCTACTATGGGAATTTGGAGGTACACTGAGAATGGTATAAGGTGGGAACTGTCGTTGAACACACAAAAAAATGAAAGGATATATCCTGGGCCGACAGAAAATTGAGAATAACTCCAAACCTCCCTAGATTCTCTCAAAACGCAAGCTCAACCCGCGCTTAGTTGAAGGTATCGAAGCAACCCCAATATTGCTCGACACCGAACTGGCCAGGCTCCTTCCATAGGTCATCAAAGTAGGAGAAGAAGACAGACTTGGAGCCGACTTCCTCGGCAATGGACTTGATGGCGATAGCCTGCTCGGAGGGACCGGGAACAGCCTTGCCGTTGGCGTTACCAGAGTGAGGCCAGCCAGTCTCCAGGTTGATAACATCCTTGCCAGGGCAGATGCCCTCAAGGACCTTGATTTCCTGAGCAACGAACTTGCCGGCCTGGTCGGCAGAGACATCGGCGTTGAAGAAGGGGTGGATGTTGGCACCAATGATGTCGACAACACCGCACAGAGCGGAGCCAGAGGCCTGCCAGACGTTGATGGGCTCGGTGGTAGTGACCTTGCCACTGTAGCCGGCCGCCTGGAAGGAGGACTTGGCAGAGGCGATGAAGCCAGCAAGGGTGGAAGCGTCGCAGTAGCCGTTTTGGATAGCCTCGTTACCGATAACAATCAGGCTGACGAGATCCCACTGGGCCCACTTGGAGATAGAGGTAACCTGGTCCTGTGCACCGGAGACACCAGTGCTGGTGATGAAGACACCAAGGATCATCTGGAGACCAGAAGTCCGGGCGGCCTCACCAATGTACTCCAAGCTGTTGCAGTCGACCGAGTAGACACGGACGTGGGAGAAACCCTTGCTCTTGAGGTTGGCGACCTCGGAGAGGACGGAGGCCTTGTCCTTGCACTCACCACCCTTGGTGTAAGGAGTGTAGGTCATACCCATCTGGCCGCTGACAGCACCGGTGGAAGCAGGAGCGCTGCTGGAGCTGGAGGGGGCAGCAACGCTGGTGGAGGGCACAGCGGTGGTGGTGGCAGGAACGGCAGTGGTGCTAGGGGCAGCAGGAGCAGAGGTGGGCTCGTTCTGGCCGGTGAAGGGGCAGACATAAGTGTAGTCGGTACGGGTGACGGTCACAGTCTGCTCAGGCTGAGTGTAGGTACCAGGAGTGATAACGGCGGGAGTAGGGTAGACAACGACGGTGCTGGTAGGGACGTAGGTGGTGGTGGGGGCAATGGTGTAGGTGCCAGGAGTGGGGCAGACGTAGGTGGTGGTTTTGATCACGCTGGTCACGGTGGTGCCAGAGGGCTCAACGGTGGCGTAGGGGCAGACAACGGTGGTCGAGGTCTTAACCACAGTGGTGACACCACCGTAGGTCTGAGTACCGCTGGGCAGCTCGGTGGTGGTAGCTCCGCACACGGTGGTTGTGTCGGTCACGGTCAAAGTGGTGGCGGGAATGGTGAAGACACCAGTCGAGGGGAAGGTGGTGACGCCGGGAGTGGGCAGAGGGACCTTAGGGGTAGCAGGGGCCGAGCTGGCCGCGGAACTGGAGGGACTGACAACAACAGTCACGGTGCTGGTGCTGGTCGAGTGCAAAGTGGTGACAGCCTCGGAAGTGACGGTGCTGGGAGTGGGAGTCGCAACGGGGATCACTATTTACGTTAGCAGTGGCTCTTGGTAAGTGCTGTATCCTTTTGACATGATCAACCAAGCGTCGAGTCATATCAAACACCAGTTCCGATCAGATTTCGGTCGCAACTTCAGGGATACTTACGGGTAGGGGAGCCCCAGACAGTGACGACTTCGGTGGTGCAGCCGCAGGTAGCATCAGCTTCGGGGACAGGCTGAGACAGAGCACGACGCTGGTGGAAAGAATCGTGGCCGTGACGACGCATGTGCGCGACATCGGCCATGGCGGTGCCCGCGATGGCGGCCGCGGTGGCCAGAATAGCACCCCTCATGGTGAATAAGAATGTAAAGATATTGCAGATTTTCAAGGAATGCCCGCTGAACGAGTGAAGCGGTAGTGAATAAAGCGCTTGTAAAGGAGGGGCGCGGTGGCCTCTTTTCTTTTCTTGAGATGAAGAGACTTGAGGAAGTGTCGGGATAGAATAGGAGAGAAGAAGAAGAGAAGGAAGAAGGGAAAAGAGAAGGAGAAAAGAGGCGAGTAGGGGCGGCCAACGGGTGGTAGAAAAGCCAAAAGCCCACTCGATGTGATCGTGGCCGGGGGAAACCCCCTGGAGTCCCGGCACAGAGCGAGAGACAGAGAGAGAGATACTACGTACGTTAGTTCTGGACCCGAGACTAGCACCCCAAAAGGGGAAGTCGAAGGAAATTAGCCTACCTTAGTGCACAGCGCAGCAGCAGCGGTGTAAGGCACTACTCTGATCTGTTAGACTACATTGGACATAGTCAGGCACCGCATCATGTTGATTGGTAGCTATAGAGGGGGGCGTTGCAGGGTATTCCAGAGGGAGGTGACCAGTGGTAGCCCGCACGGCTCGGATAGTTTGTCAGGGGTGGGGGAGAGCAGCACAAAACAATTGACAACAGCAAGAAATTAGAGTCGAAACTGGCTAATCAGCGCTTGGCTCATTGTCAAGTTTGGGCTTAGAGCAGGTTGATCCTTACGATAATCAGAGATCGGAGGTCATAGGTCAAAAGAGGGACTTTTCGCCTTGTCAGTATTCAGATTTTTCGCTTGAACAAGATCCAACTATTCTTGTGTCTCCATCTAGTATGCTCTATGCAAGTGAAGATCCTTTCATCTAGAACATTTTCTCCATTGTTCGATGGAGGTCTTTGGACTTTGAAGCAATATCGATCACAGTGGCTGGTCCGGCCAGGAGACTCGTGCTTGGTGGTACTAAAAGTTGTTGTTATTGTTTCAGCCTCCGTCCACTGCGTCTAGTCACTGTACAGTTAGTCCGTATTGTCAAATTTGTTCGTGGTATCATGCTGACTAGGTTATCTGACTCTTATTGCATTTCTTTTTTAGACTCGCCAACTCATCTTACATAACTGGCCAACTGTCTGGTGACTTCATTTTATCCCATCTGACTCTGACTTTCAAGAGGAGGAAGGAACAGAGAGTTGTTCATCTTCAGGCAGCTTGGTTCCAGCGGCAAAACACAGCAAGGCACTCCTCCCCGCTAATGCAGCCATGTGGATATTTGACTCGTTACCATGCAGTACTAGGCCCAAATAGGTATAGTTGATCATCTGTGATCCTACATTCTTGAGTTTAATTGGCGGTTGCTGTGAGCTTTAATTTCCGGATGTTCCACCCACAATTTAAGTCGGGATGCTCATTTTTGTGTGGATTTATTTTTGTGCTGTTGAATAGATAGTTCACTCAGCCACTGATTTTACCAACCTCTGTTGTTATTATTAACTGCACCCATGAATAGATGAAACTCTGCACTGTACCTACTCTACATCTAGCCGGTAGGCTATCCTAGAGATCAGAAATCTAAAATAGGATAGATGCCTTATGAACTGATTTTGCGGCCAATTAAGCAATGAGGATTCTATCTTTGGCTACCGTTATCACCTTCGTCTACAGTTTACAATAGCTCCTCAGGCTAATGGCTTCTTGACCAGCGATGACCAAGCTGTCCGATGTAGAGCTTTGAACTCAATGGGTTCGAGAGCGTTACCTGAGCCTCGCCAAGCCACGGACATACGTTGCCTATTTGGCAAGAGGACGAACTCCTGCATTTATCACTCGAATGGCTTCAACATCGAGGCTTTAGAACGGTCGCCATTCAGGCATCCAGTCGATCTATTGAGCTGTCTTACTATCAGTCCGCTGATCGACATTTGGAGGATACTATCCCCATAGTCGCTGGGTACTTTCCGCTCTCAAAGAGATATTCTTGATCTGACAATGTCCAGACTCGGGTCTGGTCCCCGATAGTCTGTACTCGCTAGTCTCCATACACAGGGTGCAGTGTCCGTAGCAAATCTCAGCGATGTGTCGGGTCCAAAGCTGGCTCGGGCTGACGCCGACAACCGAGATGAGGAATGCCATCTCCCGAGTCACATTCGCTCGTTCGTTAGACGCCAATTGTGGAATATAGATAACTATTGAATGTTCTCCAGGTTGTGACGCGCACGATCAGCTAGCTAGCTTTTGAATAAAAGGGATAACATCTCATATCACGATCGTGGCCTCGTTTAGTCCCCGTTCTCTCCAAGTGCAACCCCTGACTCGCAATTCAGCATCCCAGCTGGACTGGCTCGGCAGCGGCACCTACGAAAAACAGTGGCTACAGCTTTTTTTACCTCTTAACCTATCATAATCCCTAACTTGACAGAACAGTTCTTGAGACTGCGGGGTGACATCCCCAGAAATCCAACGCCCAGCAATTCCTTTCAGTTACCCCTGAAGGCTCAACCAACCAGCCTGCTCACTGCTCACTGCTCAGGGGCTGATAGCGCTTGTCACTATCGTCTGACTGTGGATTTTGAACAGTGGCTTCGCTCAGAGAATTAGCAGCCTAGCACGTTGCTATTCGGAACAGTTACTCAAAATTATCTGTTAAGTACGAATCATTCTCTTTGGATATGAGACAAATGCCACAATACCGTCCACTAGCGGGCTTAGGGCCGTTGTCTAAGACAAGGTTTCAATAGAGCCCTTACGAGTCGGTAGGCCAGTCCCAAATAGGCATTACACTACTTCGTGAGCTCAGGGGTGGTGTCAAACTGCGAATATTCTGTTGATGGCTCCTGAGCTTCGGCAATTGTGGAGAGCGGAAACACATTTTGGTAACCGACCGTCGACCAACGCCGGACAACATATTGATTTTGATGAGAATATATTGATATACTACTCCTTTCTAACAGAAACGACTATACGCCATATATCTCTGAACCTTCCGCAGCCGAATGACACCAAAGATGATGATAGTAATATATGCTCCTTAAATACTGATGGGTTGTGCGTAAAGGCAACTTACGATCAGGGGCTGCCTCACAACGCGGTAACCTGCTCAGGCTACTTGGAATCTTGGATATTGATAGATGGGAGTCGTCAGCATAACGATGCAAGGCCGACAAGAAAAAGAGCTAAAAGAATGATAAGTTATTGAGCAGTTATCCAGACGCTAACTAGGGCGGAAGAAGCAGTATGTCTGGGGTGCTTACAGAAAGGAGACAAACACAAGCAGGCTGAGCAGACAATAATGCCACTGGTCACATGACCACCTATCTAATCACATTATACAGTATACTTATGCGTCACTCTTTCTTTCCCGAGTTGAACACCCATGGTTTCAAGCTACATTGCTTTTCTAAAGCCTCCTCATCGCAGCTTTCATCATTGTGAGAGCTACTCTCTCTCCTACGCCGCCATACTAGGCCTAGCACGTCACACACCTCACCTTCGGCTTCGTTTGTAGATAGTTTCTTTCTCTCTCTCAGTAGATAGTTCGAATATTATGCTTTCATCTTCTTCCATTCTCACATGATCATGGCTCCTAATATCATAACGACCTGCTTCGATGCTCGATTGCTCCGCGGCCTAGTAGGCACTACGGTCACCACATATGACCTAGTATATGACCCTGTCTCAGACGGCGAGTCACCTGAATCTACCTCCCGGACGTGGGTCATCACTGAGAAACTCTCGGAGAGGGCAGCTCCTCTGACAGATCACGATGTCAGAATGGACTGCGGGTCTCCTCAAACTGTTGGCAAGTTTCTGTGCCACCTTGCAGAGGGCCCAAGCAGATGGCGTTCATGCGAGTCTACCAACAGATTCCTAACACTGTAACAGAGGACGTTGATCATGACACACTGGCTATGCAGGCTGTGTGGTGAGCTGGAGACCTTTAAACTCTTGCAAAGTGGAGGCTGTAGTGCTGTTCCTCGCTTCCTTGGCCACGCAGAAAGAATACAAGGAGAGGACGGCCTCCTTCCTGGCGGCTATGTTAGATACCTTGTGTGGGAAAAGGTCCCTGGTGAGCCTCTGACAGAGGAATTCTTCTGGGATTTGGATGACACCGCACGCAAAGACATCCGTTCTAAGTTCCGTGCCGCATATAAGTAAATCTATGCAAATCCGAGGTATGCAGACAGACAGACAGGATACTTAATATAATGAAAAGGCATTTAATTAGTTGCGGGGTAGCACCAAGTCAGTCCAGAACCTCGAAGATCATCTTTGATCAGTCCACAGGCAATCTGTACGTCAGTCATGGCATGCTATGTACCTTAAGTAAATGTGTTGGAAATATATACTAACGGATTACAGTCGCATTTCGGGTTTCCGAACGGGAAGGCCAATTTTATCGATGGACTTGAATGGTCAGAGGCTCGTTACGTCGAGTATGGACTAGCGAAGCCAAGCAAGAGACAGACTGGTACCTTCACCCGGAAAAATGGGAGTGGTGAACTATCTTGCTATCACACAACGCGAAGAGATGCTGCTGTTGTGATCTAGATTGAGGAGCGAAGTTACAGTTTGAACGGGAACTGTCGAAGATTTACGGGATTTTCCTTCTAGTCAACATCAATTCAGAAATGACAGCACTGTAAGAAGAGTCCAGCTCCGTTGAACAGGGGACAATGAAGAGTCATATAGTAAACTGGAGCGCAGCTACTACAGCTGCTAGGGCTATTGTCAAGCAAGGCCCGAAGAGGGAAAGCGTCGGGACCCGGCTGGGGCGGATTGTCTGCGATGGAAACATCACCAGTTTCTTGCAAGAAGGCCTAGGGCCGCGACTGGCAAGCTGACTCCAAGGTCTCATTCAAACGGAGCTGGACTCTTATTACAGTGCTGTCATTTCTGAATTGATGTTGACTAGAAGGAAAATCCCGTAAATCTCCGACAGTTTCTCATTCGAATCGTATCTATGCTGCTCAATCCACATAACACCAACGGCATCATCTCTCCCGTCGCATGACAGACAGCAGAATGTACCTCGCAAACCAACAAGAGTCTCACCTAATGAGATTATCAAAAAAGCCATTGGATTCCAAGAAATTTGTACAAGCCGAATCTTGGCTTTCCACACAGGCCAGTTTTACAGAGCACATAGCAAGACCTGGAAGTTGGAAAACGCCTGTTCTAAGATCATGCCACCTGCCTAGACGGCGACCACACCACCTCATCTCACCGCGCCACGATCCTTGACCACGCCATCCTATCATGCTCTCGTCATTTGGATTCCGAATGAATTCTGTAATTATGGTTGGATGGCGCTTTTCAGCCTCCGTATTCACCCTACAGAAGCATCACGAACCGGTGGGTAGCTGTCGACATCTCGATTCCGGCGTCAGGTAAGGTGATTCGGAAGTACAATTGCCTTTCGTATGGCTCAATCGCTTTCGTTTGGGAGCGGAAAAGTCTCCAAGATATAAAGAGGGTGGTGGGTGGGTGAAGCTGGGATAGTATATTCATCCAGTATCGCAATCAATCCAGCGAACAAGAAAACGCATTGAAAACTACAGCAGCGAAGCAGCAAGCAGCCGCATACAACATCAACCAAAGTCAAAAGCAGTCGTCGTGACAGAATGACGGAATCCTCCTCCTCTCGTCTCCAAAATGACTATGGAGCTGATCTCTGGGTCCGCTCTGGCGCAGAACGTCGCGTATGTACTTCACTGTCACTCAGATGTGCTCTTTATTGGCATGGCATGCAAAGCTAACAGGTGCAGCACCCAACGGCCGGACGAGGGCTCTTTGCCGGCCTTCAGGACGTGAAGCACTATAACGTCGACCATGGCTGGGCCAAGCGCAGCCAGGATCAATCGCAGGGGTTGTTTAGTTTCCTGTGGAGTCGGTATGTTCCTTTGTTCTTTGTCTTTCGGTATATGTCCAATGAGCTAACTGGTCTAGGTTTACGGGAGGAGCATATCGTCCCCCGACGGATTCATAGCATGGGATGGTGTGTCTTTGGTTACGGTTATGGTCATGTTATGATATCATTGTTTAGCGTTTGTACAGCATCAGCATCAGCATCAGCATCAATCTCATTCATTACCTCGTTAGAATCATCCTTACCAAATTTACATTGAACAAGCATAAACATTCAGTGAAAGGTCAAGACCTCAAACCCATCCCCCCATCCGACTGAACCACAGCCCCCGTCACAAACCCATCCTTCATAACCCCCAAATACCCCTCCGCCACATCCTCCGGCTTCCCCAGCTCCCCCGTCAACGTCCTCCCCTTGAGCCTTTCAATCACCTCCTCCGGTAACCCATCGAACATCTCCGTTCGCACCGCCCCCGGCGCAACAACATTCACCCGCACCGGCGCAAGATCAACCGCCAACCCCCGCCCAAGCCCGATAAGCGCATTCGCAAGCATAGCACCCACACTGTACCCAGGCGGCGGCCGCATCGCCACCGCCCCGCTCGTCAGCGTCAGCGACGACCGCGCCGATTGCGCCATGTACGCCGGGACATGCTTCGCGAGCATCAAGCTGCCCAGCACCCGGACCGTGGAGAAGGCGCGGATGTACGCGGGATCAAGCGCTGGGTCCGTGAGCGGGAGGATTTTGAGAGGGTCGCCGGCTGTGAAGACGATGTGGTCCAGTAGGACCCGGCCGGAGACGGCGTTGGGCGGGGCCCCGGACGGGAAGAGATCAGGTTGCGTGGCTTTGTCCAGCAGAGCGAGGATGTTCGCTTCGACGGTGGGCTCGTCCCCGAGGTCGACGGTGGTGCCGGCTACCCTGGCGGTGAACTGCTCGTCTGGGTAGAAGGTGCGCAGGCGGGAGAGGGCGGACTGGACTTTTTCGGGGCGGGAGCTGGCGACGAGGACGCTGGCGCCGTGTTCGAGGGCGGCGCGGGCGACGGCGAAGCCGATGCCGGAGGTGCCGCCGATGATGAGCACGCGGGTGCCGGAGAGCTTGTTGGTGGAGATGAGGTTTGGAGATGAGGTTGTCATTGTGGGGAATATTTTTATAGAACTAGTACCTGTTGACGGCGATGTTGGCGGATGGAGAGTGGAAGGGAGAGGATTTGCTCTCAATATCCAACACGAATGCTGCTGCTGATGATGATGATGGCTTTTATGTACCCTGCAACGTGAACAAAGGTACCTTACTGATTACCAAGAACGGTTATTGATTACCAAGCATGGTGTTAGAACACAATCCTGCTGTTCCAACACCGTAGCTCTGCATCTTATGTCCGCCAGCCCTGCCTTTTATATCCGACAGACTGCACACAGAGAACCAGATTGACGAAGAGAGGCCGGAGAGGAGAACATATTCCATGTAGAACAAAATTGATTGTTGGTCACTACAAGAACAGTTAACCGCTAGACATAAAATGATACAAGACTCCGTAACCCAAGATGACCCGTGTCGCCAGTGATATTCAGCGACGCCATTTCTAATGATAAATGGTATATATTTTGTCGTAGATTAGTTTTGTTCGCAATGGCTCTAGTCCCAGCCAGTGATCTTCATGGTTCCCTTCTCCTGCAGGTTCTGGTGCATCTTGAAGGCCTGGAAGAGCAGATGAGGCTCGTGACCCATGCCCTTCTTCAGGCACTCGTATTCAGCCCGGTCCATGTAGTCCGTAAGGATGGGCTGGTAGTCGGGGTGGGCGCACTGCTTGATGATGACACGAGCACGTTCGCGAGGAGACAGACCACGCACGTCGGCGAGACCCTGGATAATGTCAATTGAATCCAATCGATGATTTTAAAATAGCTTACCTGTTCAGTCACAACGACATCAAGATCGTGCTCAGTCTGATCAATGTGAGTGCAGAAAGGCACAATACAGCTGACACCGGTAGGATCGATCTTGCTGGGACGGGTACTGGGGGTGTGCATGATACTGTACTTGGAGTTGCGTAGGAAGTCGGCAGATCCTCCTAGACCATTGAGCATCCGCGAGCCCATGACACAGGTGCTGTTGGCATGTGCGTAGATATCCACCTCGACGGGTGTGTTCATGCCGATACACCCAAGACGGCGGATGATCTCGGGCGAGTTGGAAACCTGCTGAGAACGCAGCAAAAGCTTGCCCGCATAGCGTTCCCAGTTATCGTAGAACCGCTTGAATCCATCGGGGGAGAACCGGATGGAGGTGGCAGTGGCAAAGTCCAAGTTTCCACTGTCGAAGAGATCCAGGAAGGAATCCTGCAACACCTCAGTCCAGACCTTGAGGTTGGTGAAGTCCGCACCGCCCTTGCTCAGGCCGCCAATGACCGCGTTGGCGATGTTTCCAATACCGGACTGGATGGGGAGCAGGTTCTGGGGCAGACGGCCATGCCTGACCTCGTGCTTCAGGAACTCGATCAGGTTGCTGGCAATGGCCTGCGAGCTTGCGTCCTCGGGTGCGTTGGGCTGCGTCTGATCCGGGTAGTCGGACTCGACAATGGCGACGACCTTCTCCGGGTCGACGGGGATGTGGGGGGTTCCAATGCGGTCCTCGGGCTGCATGATCAGGTACGGCTTCCGGCGAGGAGGAACGTCCGACATGGTGATATCGTGCAGACCCTCGAACGACGGACTGGCCGTGTTGACCTCGATGATGACCTTGTCGGCCATCTGAATCAGTTCCGGGGACGCACCGACGGAAGCACCGGGAATGATACCTCCATCCTCCGTGATGGCCGACGCCTCAATCACTGCAACGTCGAGCCTGTTCTTGGGCTTGTTCAACGTGTACCAGCCCTGTTACGATTAGCATCGCCCTGTTTTACGGTCTTGGGGGTTCTCACATAGACAAGGTCCGAAGGAAACATGCTCAGATGCTTATCGAAGAACTTGATCTGACCGTTATTGATCCCCTTGGCAATCTCCTTGCCCACCTGATGAGGGCTCCGCCGCTCAATCATATTCAATCGCGCCCATCGGTTCTCTGTCTCGGCACCTGAGGAGGCACCAACGAACAAGGTGTACTGTAGCTTTCCCTGCAGGTTGTTCTTCTCGACATGATCGGCGAGAGCGGTGGGCACTTTCCTGACCAGCGCAACCAGGCGTCAGCTGCGATACTTGCTGTCGATCTCAAAAGGTCAACTTACTTGGGGTAGCCAACACCCGTGAATCCGGACCAGCCGATGTATGATCCATGGGGAAAGAAATCG